GATGGTTGAGGCAGCGGTAGTTTGCATGGAGGGTAGGGCATTGAAATGGTACCAATGGATGGAAGGGAGAATTGAACTGGTACCAATGGATGGAAGGGAGAGAGCCTTTCAAGTCGTGGGATGAGTTCAAAGCTGCTCTAATCGCCAGATTCCGGCCGTCATTCCAAGGTTCTGCTCATGAGGCGTTGAAACAACACTTCACTGTGACTGAATACAGAGAAGACTTTGATTCCTATACGGCACCGTTGAAGGACTTAGGTGAAGAGATATTGATGAGAGTCTTCATTAATAGGCTTAGAGAGGAAATTCGGGCTGAGTTGAGAGTGTTAAGGCCTAGCTCCTTGCAAGAAGTGATTAAGCAGGCCCATCGTGTGGAGGAAAAAAATTGGGTCATGGATAAGTGTCGGCCCAAACCATTCAAAACCCATGGAACCAGGGAGAGTTACTCAAGGGTATCTAGCAGCCCTGATCCGAACCGACTCACATGGTGGTCTAACCCAGCGAAGGTAACCAGTAGCCCCGACCCGACCCGACCCGACCCACCTGGTGGCCTAACTCAACAAAACCACTAGAACCCAACCAGATCGCGTCTTCTCGCTCACTCGATAGGAAAGAGAGAGCATTGAAAAATGCAAACGCAAGTTTTTGAGGAGGATCAGGAGGGAATTTCTGGCAATTATCCGAAGCCGATATCCAGTACAAAAGAGAAAGAGGGCTCTGCTTCTGATGTGATGAAAAGTTTGGTCCCAACCATTGTTGTCGGAGCAAATCATTGTAGATCCTGTTGGTATTGGATGACGATGAGTCTGAGAAGTGTGACACTCCACCAGAAAATGTTGAAAATTATAGCCAAGAGGGAAACGACTTAGCTCTGTCCATGAACTCCATCGTGGGTATAACGTCAGATAAAACCTTGAAGGTAAAGGGTCAAATTAGGGGTGCAGATATAGTGGTGTTGATCGACAGTGGAGCGTCACATAATTTTATTTCTCTGGAGTTGGTCGAGAGGCTTGGTATTGCAGTGGAAAAAGGGAAAATGTTTGGAGTGATGGTGGGAAACGGAGTCACTGTGAAAGGAGAAAGGGTGTGTCGACAGGTTACTTTGGATGTGCAAGCGATTCAAATTAGGCAAGATTTCTTTCCCTTTGAGCTCGGAGGAGCTGACATTGTTCTGGGTATCACGTGGTTGAGCTCCTTAGGGGACGTCTGTGCTAACTGGAAGAAGTTGACTATGAGCTTTGAGGTGGATGGGGTCAGAGTTAGTTTACAAAGGGACCCTTCTCTGGTGAAGTCAGTTGTCTCCCTGAAATCAATGTTACAGACCATCAACAACAATGGGGGAGGATTCTTGGTGGGATGTTGCTCGCTGGAGGGAAAACTCACGACCACAGGAGAAGAAATTAGTCCACAAATTCAGGTAGTATTAGATCAGTATAGATACCTTTTTTACCAACCTTCCAAACTCCCTCCATACCGTACCCATGACCACGCCATAAACCTTAAGGAAGGTGCACTAGCCGCTAACATCCGACCCTATAGGTATCCTTATTTTCAAAAAAATGAAATTGAAAAGTTGGTGGAAGAAATGTTAGCTGCCGGTATTATCCAGCCTAGTACCAGTCTGGTTGCCAACCCAGTGTTGTTAGTTAAGAAAAAGGATGGAATTTGGAGATTTTGCGTTGATTACAGGGCCCTCAATGAAATAACAATTCCTGACAAATTTCCTATCCCTACCATTGAAGAGCTATTGGATGAATTGGTAGGGGTGACTATCTTCTTTAAGTTGATCTTCGGTCCGGATACCATTAGATCAGAATCAAGGACGAAGACATACCCAAATATGCCTTTCAAACACATGAAGGGCATTACGAGTTCTTGGTTATGCCGTTCGGTTTGACCAATGCTCCCTCAACGTTTCAGTCTTTGATGAACAACATTTTTAAACCAGTTCTATGTAAGTTTGTGCTTTTTTTTTTTTTTTTTTTTGATGATATTCTGATTTACAGCCTCGACTTGGAATCCCACGTCAGACACCTGCGGCAAGCTATTAGGATTCTGGACGACAACGAATTGGTTGGGAATTTTAAAAAATTTTATTCGGGCAGCAGAAGCTGGAATATCTGGGGCATCTAATTTCGGCTAATGGGGTTGAGGCAGATCCGCAGAAAATTGCTGCTATGGTTTCTTGGCCCACACCCACCAATGTGAAGAGTCTTCGCGGTTTTTTGGGATTAACAGGGTACTATCGCGGGTTTGTAAAGGGGTATGGTAGCATAGCCCAGCCACTCACCAGACTACTGAAGAAAAATTCTTTTGGTTGGGACCAAGAGGCGCAACAGGCCTTTCATGCCTTAAAGGAAGCCATGACTTCAGTCCCTGTTCTGGCAGCTCCAGATTTCAACTCCCCATTCGAGATTCACACTGACGCCTCGGGCCACGGTATGGGAAATGTATTAATTCAGAAAAAACGACCCATAGCTTACTTAAGTAAGGCCTTCTCCCCTCAAGCAAAACAAAAATCAGTCTATGAAAGAGAGTTAATGGTTGTCGTATTCGCGGTGCACAAATGGAGTCCGTACTTATTGGGTAGGAAGTATATCATTCGAACAGACCAGCGAAGCCTCCAATTCCTCAAGGACCAATGGATTAAAACCCCGAAACAACAGAAATGGGTGTCCAAATTAATGGGGTTTTCGTTTGATATTCACTATTGGCTGGGAACCACTAATAAGGTCGCCGATGCTTTATCTCGGCGAGAAGAGGAACCAGAATTATCATCTTTGTTAGTGAAGCAGTTTTTAGGGTATGAGGATTTGGCAACTGAGGCCCATCAGGACCCTAAGCTTAGACAGCTGATTCAAGACCTGGTTTTGGAACCCAACAGCCGACCAAACCACAAACTTCGCCATGGCTGCTTATTGTACAAGGACAGGTTGGTTCTGCCTAAAGGTTCTCAATTCATTCAGAAATTACTAGCTGAATTTCACTCCAGCCCAACTGGTGGTCATTCCGGCTTCTTCAGGACGTATAAAAGGGTAGCCAATGTAGCTTATTGGGTAGGCATGAAGAAGGATATCCAGAACTTTGTTAAAACCTGCACCATATGTCAAGTTAATAAACACTCAGCCTTGAAGCCAACAGGACTACTTCAGCCACTTCCTATACCCACTCAGGCATTCGATAACTTGACAATGAACTTCATTGGAGGACTTCCAAGGGCCAAGGGGTTTGATACCATTCTGGTTGTAGTTGACCGCTTGACCAAATATGGCCATTTTCTGCTCTTGTCGCACCCTTATACAGCCAAGGAGGTGGCCTTAATATTCATGAAAGAAATAGTGAAGCTTCACAGTTTTCCTCAGTCCATCATTGCCGACAAAGACAGACTTTTCATGAGTCATTTTTGGCAAGAGATTTTCAGGGTATCCGGGACAGCTTTGAAATTTAGTTCCGCTTACCACCCACAAACGGATGGCCAATCCGAAGTGGTGAACAGGTACTTGGAGGCATACCTTCGCTGCTTTTGTAGCTCACAGCCCCGTCAATAGCCGAATTGGCTTCCATGGGCTGAATTTTGGTACAACACGACATATCATCGATCCACCAAGATGACACCTTTCAAAGCCTTGTACGGCGATGACCCCCCGATTCTCCTGAAGTTCATGGACTACCCTTCTCAGGTTGATGAAGTAAACCACCAGATCCGTGAGCGAAATGCCATCCTTCAAGACCTCAAACACAACCTGGAAGTAGCACAAGTTCACATGAAAACACAAGCAGACCGTCATCAAAGGAATGCTCAGTTTTCTCCAGGAGATTATGTCAATCTTCGACTGCAACCTTACAAATTTAAATCTCTGGCCACACAGTTGAATGAAAAACTTACTCCTAGGTTTTATGGGCCTTTCCGGGTCTTGGAAAAAATCGGTCAAGTAGCATACAAGTTAGAACTGCCCCCAACAGCCCGTATTCACCCTGTTTTTCACGTATCCCAGTTGAAGCATAGCCTGCATAGCTCAGTTTCCGTACAGCCTCTACCTTCATGTCTCACCGATAACCTGGAACTGCAGGTTCAGCCTGCTGAGGTGCTGGATGTAAGGTCTCTTATGGATGGTTCTACAGAGGTTCTCATTCGATGGCACGATATGCCTACTTTCGATGCCACATGGGAGCCCTTTGATGTCATCAACAACCAATTTCCTCAATTTCACCTTGAGGACAAGGTGACACTTCGAGGGGTGGGTATTGTTAGACCTCCCATACATAAGGTCTATAAATCCAAGGGCAGGGGAAGGAATAGGAATAAGGGGACGTTGAGTGTGAGTTTGTTAAAGGATGGTGAGGTGTGCAATGAGGGTTGTTAGGATTGTTGGGACTGTTATGAGGATCGACACGTGGTTGTCAATATTGTTACAGAATAGAAGAATTAGCTTATAAAAGGGAGAGAGGGGGGAGAGCAGGATATCAAGAAATATATCCTAGAATTGATTGGGAGGCCCCCAGCTCCTCGAATTGTTGGGAAACTATCTGTTATTTCAATTGTTTCTGTTTCATGTTCACTCAGTATCCATTAATACATTCTGCTATTGTCTATTATTCGAGCATATTGTTGGCTGTGTGTGTGTTGTTTTGCTGTGAATCTCTGAATTGCAAGAGGGTTCCAACAAGATCATAGACGCAATGGCCAGGAAAAATAATTACTAAGATATTGAGAAAACTTTGATTGTAACAGCTGCTTGGAAAATGATAAATCAAATGCGCAATGGAATAAGCAGAAAATTTTGATTGCTATTCTACAAAACAAATTTCAACACATTACATCCCAAGTACTGTATGTATGTTTACAAACACTATTAATTTCGTTGGTGAAGTGAAGCTAGGTTGAAGTGTCTAGCACAAATATAATATTTATAGAAAAAGAATGATATTATGAATCAATTAATATAACACATACCCACTGTCACCTGGATTCATTCACATATCCAGTCACCAAAATGGACTAAAATTTACAAAACATTACCTTCTTTTCTTCCTTTTTGTCATGTTTTTGCTATATCTAATTTACATCCCAGTTGAGGATGTCCTATTTATTCTTTGTGCACCCAGTTTTGGAGCAGCCGGTTTAGCTCCTCTGCCCCTACCTGCTGCTAAAGGCTTGGCCCTTGTAGTCGGTGGAGGAGCAGCAATCGCAGCCCAAGGGTCATCATCATCAACTGTTGCTGCTGATTTCACATTCAAACGTTTTGATGATGTTTTCGGAGCAGGTGCAGCTATGGCACCCCACAAATCATCATCTTCATCTTTTGCTGCCTTAACTGTACTTTTTGGTCGCAAACTTGTAGCTGGGGAAAATAGAAAATGAAAACAGAAATCCTTTTAGGAAAGTGTTCCAACAAATGTAATCAAACAAGAAGAAATGAAGTTACTGAATATGATAATTAGTGAATAAACTTGTCCAGTATATTACAAGCCATAATATAACAGATTATACCTGCTGGTTTTGACTGTGAAACAGGTTGTGAGACTGGCCGCTTTTGAGCTGCTTGAATGTTGGCAAGAACAGCAGTTGGCTTGGGCTCTTCAAGAGGTTCAATATCATCCCAACCATCTTTGTCACTGTCATGCTCTTCATGAATTCCATTTTCAATTTCTCCCCAGCCATCTGTTGAAGTAGGGGAAACAGGTGCAGGCTGATCGGCAAAGTCTGTGCCTGAGCTTACATGATGGATTGATGTTGTACTTGTAGTTTCCATTGCTAAAAGTTTCCAGAAACTGACATTAGACATCAAAAGCAGAGAATGCATCCACACAAACTATGATGGAAGGTAATGATCCAGTGGAAGCATAAAGCAACTGCATCACAACAAAAGTGCAAGCATATACACATATGTGCACATGTGCATACAGACAATAGGATAATGCGGAATCCTTCATGCTTACATACATACATGTTGTCACAACTTTGTACACAGCATGCATAATGACAGCCATCATGCTCCAAATTAACAATGATGAAACCATGAAGACTTAATATTATCATCAGTAAATGGTTCATAAAGTGTTGTGTTCACCACAAGGTTGGCAAATCCCACATAGGCCAATAATGACCAAAGTAAAGCTCACATAAATCCCACTCTCTAATAAGAGGATGATGTGACACCAGGCTTTTCCTCTTCACTTATCATCCAAGACATGCCCCTATTAACCAATTTAAGCATATTTAATAGACTTAAGTGATTTTAGTCAGGTAAATGCTTAACTGTCCAAATTGCCAAGGATATGATACAAGATGAATAAGAATGCATAAAAAATGAATTTTGTCATAAAAATTGACACATTTAGAAGTAATAATAAGTAATCGAAATACATACCTGAGCTGGCATTGGATGTCGTTGATGTTAGAGGTGTACCAGAATTTGCAGAAGCAACTGGTGCTTGGTCGGAAGGTTTACCTTTAAGCGTTAAGGAGCTCATGGCCCATCTACATGACATTTATAAATGCGTCAATGCCACATTTCGGGAAAGTTGCTAATAAAGAATCAATTTCATTGGCAAATTGACAACATATGTAACAATTCGATACAAGAATCAAGGTACTTGCAAGGTATCTATACCGGAAATTACAAAACATTGAAACAGGGACAAATAAGTGACAGATAAGAACACCTTTAGGTGTCACACTGCATTCCATCAATGCACTCTTGTTTTGAAAGACGCAGCATCATCTGAACAAACAAATTGTTCGTGCAACTTTCCATATAATTTAATTTTTCTTTTCTTTTTCAGTTCTTTAGTTTTTATTGAGTAAACAAAATGAGTCCATTCAAATCCCAGGCACCCCTTTCCAACTAGGATTTAATAAAGCCAATGGTTTGGTTTATTTAATACTAGTGCCTACATTTCCAATGCAATGAAAATATAACACAGAACCAGGTTGTTTAAAAAGAAGAGGGGGGGAGGGGGAGGTGGGGGGTTGCTAAACAAAGCCACAATTCAAAATAAGCATAAGGGGAACAGATGAACAATCATAACAAAGCAAAATGCACAACCAATTGCCTGTGACTCAGCATGACAGAAGGAGGCCAAATGGCACACTTTTGAGTTCAAAATGAGCCACACTTTCATAGAATAAATACTTTCAAATCACTTACCCAAGTAAACTGGCATTTCCTGGCATCGATGAGATTCCAATACCTGAAGCTCCAGGGGTATCACCAGAATTTGTCTACATCAAACACAGAGTAAAAATCAATATAACAAAATGACACAAGTAATGAGATAATCAAACATTAACCACAATAATATCTTCATACTTTCTTACATGAGCTTTTAGGCTTTAGCTATTACAAACTAAGTTTCAACTTGGCATGGATTCTTCAATTTAAGACAAAGATTACTAAAACGGCATCACAGCAACTACTTCACTTTGTCCCAATTGAAATCTATTTTTCAAAAAGAAATGCTGGATACCGCAGATGGCTTAGATCTTGGGGTTATGCTGAAGTACCATACAGGTATGAAATGGTAAGACAGGAAAGTTTCCATTAAAGACCATAGAGAGGTTGTACCCAGATTACTTATACAACTTACTGCTTAACTAGGGAAGCCATATGAACAAGAAATACAAGAGAAGTAGTGACTAAGGAGCAAAAAGACATAATGAATCATTATGATACTTCAGTGCTTGAAATGCAAAAAATAATCTTTTTAAGTCTACATTTACATGCTGTAAACATATGACACATGAAAAAAAAAAAAAAAAAAAAATAAATAAAAAGCAAGAAGAAATTGAGGACCCCACCTTCTCGTGGTGTTGCTTCACAATCTGCAAAAACTGGTCAACTGCTTGAAATGCCTTTGATCTGACATCACTGTTTAAAATAAAAGGAGCACCTTGTTCACGTACAAGTACAATAAGTCAAAAAACTTGGATATATAGATACATCTTCCAAAGAAATTTAACCTGTCAGGATCAATTGTAAGTACAACCACATTTGGAAGAATCCTAGTTGCAACCTCATTGATGTCATAATAAGCACTGGTGGCACATAAAGCCATAACTCCTGCCACATAAAAATTTTAAATTGGTTAGTATATTACACAACTGTGGGAGCTAAAAGAGTAAGCAGACACCTGGAACAACAATGAATACAAAGGAAAATGGTATAGTCATTCAGCACTCTGAAAAATATGGTATGAACCTTAAAGAAACTAACCAAAACTTATAAACAAATAGCTGGAAATTCAATAAGACAGAAAATATATTAAGTTTTGATACCAGCTCCTCGGGCAGGAGAGAACGTATCCCGCAGTGCACGTACTGTGAAAGCATTAATCAAAACTCTCTTCCTTGTCTACATTGTACATTCAAACACATCAGATGATAATTTTGAACAAGACAAATATAGTTACAAAGACCACATAATGACAACTGGATTAATGATTATCTCATCAACAAAAGAAAACCATAAAACCAGAGATTGACCATTGTCTACAAAAATATCAAAGTAAAAGATAAGCAACTTGCTCATAATTACCCCTTCGTTTAGGTAGCTTGCAATATTCCCAAGTAATATGGTGGTATTTGTCCGGATTGCTGGTTCTTCATCAACCTGTAAAAATTAACAAATATTAACACCATAAACTACAGGACATCAATTTATTTTATGTCAAGAAAAGGAATCCTAAATCAGAAAAAGGATTCAAGAACCAACAACAGTAACTCTCAGCACTAGAAAAGGGCATCTGATTTATATTGTTAGCAATTTATAGAATTTAGTTCTATTGGCAAACAAACCATGCACCTGTAGCTTTGAAAGATATTTCAACAAAGACCCTGACATAGTGCGTTGAGAGAGCTGCGATGAAACATATAAGACAACATTAAAAAAGGTCTCCGCATAACTAACTACAAAAATGTTATCAATAAACCTAAAGAGGAACAGTCACAAGATAGAAAGATCCAATCGACAGCTCATAGTGGAATGTAAGAAGAAGATGGTTCATGTCTATCCTATAAACATACCTTCGGAGCCAGAACAAGCATGGATTTAAGAGTCAACTCACGAAGAAAAGCTGATGTGTCAGAAAAACCCGTAGCAACATGGGGGTACACCTAGTCAGAAGCATATCAAAATGAAGGTAAAAATTTATTGTCAGGACTTCCATCCAAACAATAATATAAACTAGAATTTGTAATAATCACAACAAAAAAAAAAAAAAAAAAAAAATCATTTTATGTTCGGCTGCATACTTGCTCATCAACAATTTGTGCAGATAATGATTCTCCATATTGATCAACATGTTGCAACAGACCCACTCGAACAGCTCGGTCATTGGAGGAATATAGTTTCACAATTGTTGGCAGTACCTGCAAATTACATAAAGCAACTTCCCACAGTCATAACAGAAGTGATGAAACAATTACAGTAACATGCACATGGTTACTCTGAGATTGAATGGAAAACAAAATGACCAAAACAAACGTAAAAAAATATGACACTGTAAAAGTACAGAAGGTTTATTACCTTGACACTGAATTCTTCAGTAGAAAGCCAAGAGCTCATTTTCAGCAGTGCAGTCAATGCAGGGGCAGCAGCTGAACCAAATTCAAGGGCAGAAGCTAATAAAGGAAGCAACTGTACAAACCAGAAGATAAAAGCATAAATTGGCATCAAAAGGCATTCATTATATATTAAGTAAGCATACACTATAAGAATATCAAAAGCAACACCTTTTTCAGCACGATTTGCCTAGGGAGTTGCTCAGCTAAATTTGGAAGTTTGCGGAAGAAGGTATCCTTTTCAACGCTGTCTTTTAAATTCAGAATTTCCATAAAATGTATGGTGTCCACCAACTTATTTTGAAAATATTCTGTGCATCCAAAATTTGTCAAATTTAATAACACATAGAAAAGGAAAACGGAGAAAAGAAAATTATGATATAACTCAAGAAAGTGACTAGCCTCCTTTTTTATCAACAGTAACAAAGAAATAAACTAAAATAACTCAAAGTCAAAAGAATGCTAACCACTGTTCTCAATAAGCTTGGATGAATTCAACCTGCGAGAAGGCATGGAACTCAAAAGCCGCTGATAATCTGGAAGCAGAGACTGTGAGACAAGAAAATAGGCAGATGCAAATGAAAATGAATTTTCAAAGAAATGAAAATAACAACAAACAAAAATGAAAGCACAGATACAAAAGAAATGTTCATGAAGAGTCACTGGCATGCACACTTAAAAATACCAACCATTTCAATTATACATAAAAGAAACAATTATTTTAATGGATTAAGACGGGGAAAATGAAACAGAACCCAGGAACAGAAAATCAGTAGTCATATAGTAATACCCAACAATAAAAGGCAAACCTTTGGAATTGAAGCAGTGTTACGCAGCTCCTCTGTTTTGCTCAACCTCATACCAGAGAAGAGTTCATAAATGAGACAGCCTATCAGAGTAAAAGAAGTGATGTTAACATTTATACAAGTGCAAAATAATCTATAATTGATATACACAGTCGATTTTAACAGCAAAAGAAGTAAACTGAGACTCACCCAAGCCCCAAGAATCAATGGCCCACGGGGGAGATTTTCTGATTGCAGCCCAATCAGACTTTGCCAACTCCACAGATTTGTACTGTGCTCCAACAAGCCATGCATATTGCTGAGGGAAAGAAGAAAAAAGAAATCAAATTTTGTGACAAAACAGACTCACTTACCAAGTATATCAGTCAGTATAATAACAAAATTACAGTTGATTTATCAAAAGTACAGAAAGAAAACTATTATCGATTAAAAAAAAATCTTAAGATATAATTAAGTAAACATTTCATCCGAAATTTCAACAGGCAACTCAGAGCATAACAGTACATAGAAAATCTTGAAAATAAATTAATACCAAAAAAAAAAAAAAAAAAATCTATGGAATAACTGATCATATATATAAAATGATTGACAGGAAGGAGAGTTGAGTTACAACAAACTATAACTCTTTATCTGTTATGTTCTGACGATATGTTGACAATAGTTTTGCCCTCTTAAAGGGGTCCATTGAATTATCAAATTATATATGCTGCTTGAGTTTTTAGTTATAATGCATGTCATTTCAGAGGTTTTATGGAAACAAAAATGCAATTGCAGGTTGTTTGTCAAACCAAATACAAAGATTACCAGCATTGCTCCAGTGGCAGCTTCATTATTCCCATCAAACTCTGACAAAACATCAAAAGCATGCAACTTCCAATCCAAAGTTTGTGTAACAACAACGCTGGCCAGGCACACGTTACCATGAACCTGTCCCAAGAGTAATAAAAAACTGACATTGCAGATCATGAAGAGATTGAAAAAGAAGAATCAAACTAGATTTATAAATATTCCCGCAAATTTTACTCATATCAACAAAAACTTACAAGTTTACAATCATTATTCAGGAAGCTAACGGCTTTAGCAATTTGGTGCAGCCCCCATGCATAATACTCATCCCTAAAAAACAGAATAAAATTAATTCACTAACTCATTAACAAATCAATGTTAACATTGCAAGTAAGGGAGATTAAAGTCAGCAAATTATCGGAAAAAAAAAGAAGAAGAAGAAAAGATAAAAAAGAAAATCCAACCTTTGTGAGCCTTCTAAACCAAGTTCCTTAATCTTCTCGGAAAGCGGCATTACAGGTTCAGTAACAATATAGATAGTAATTTTATTAGTAGAACCATCAAAATTCTCAACCTCTGTACTGTGAAGAAACGATAGAATATTCGGATGCCTAACCTGAAAACAACCAAGCACATTCATTTCAATTCAATAACTCACACTCGAATAACACTAATAATAAAGTAAGAAATGATATATATATATATAATATATAATTATATATATTATATATATATAATATATATATGTGTGTGTGTGTGTGTGTCTGTGTGTGGTGTGTCCGTACAGTTCGGAGACGTTTGACACCATTACGAGCAGCGGCCAAGTGTCGTCCTGGGCGTGGTACCAGAAATGGAGAAATAGAGACGGAGATCCATCATCCTGCAATGATTAATGATAGATTCGATTTGAAGTAATTCGTTGATTTGAATGGAAATATAGAATGGTGAATGATGAAGTTGGAGGAGAAGTAAAATTACCTTGGATGCCATGAAAGTGGGAGCAGGACAACCCAAGCAGAGGGATAGGGGTCGCCGATATTATAGGGGAGATCTTTGACGCCGGTACTGGATCCACCGACCACGCCTTTCAAAAACTTGAACATGATTTGATTTCTTTTTCTTTTTACATACGAACACAGACGATCTACAGAGAGTGGTGAGGTAAGATCTGTAAGAGCTGGAGACGAGAATGGAAAATTCGAAGAATTTATGGATATGGGTCGGGTTTCTTTGGGAGATTCGCGGACTACCGACTTTAGTGTCATTCGGATTGTCAAAGGACCCCTTGGGCTCTATAGTGAATTGGGCCTGAGTTTTGGCCCATCTGTTGGTTCAAGTCCAAATAACTTGGACTCAAAATAATTGTAATGGGTTGGGGTGGTTGACTTGTTGACTTTTTAACAACTTCAAAATGTGATGTCAGGATAACAAAATAGAACACAAACGCACCCGATAAGAAAACATCAAAGGGATACATGATAACACCATCGAAAGCTGAATGATGTATAATTTGCACATTAATTCGATCTACGTAAATACCAATTTCACTCCGAATTTTCCCTTGAATCTAGTTCTCTTACACCATTAATCAATGTAAAATGACATTTGTATTTATGTAGTGGAACGCTTCTGTGTTATTATGTTAACACAATAACTTAATATATATATATATAATCAAATATTTCGTAAAAAAAACTGTAAACTAATGTGAAGTATTACATGTAAAGGTGAGAGTTTAGGTGTGGAATTGTTGATGATGGGGATGGAGATTGAATTAGTGGGGTGTCGATGATGGGGATGGAGATTAAATTAGTGGGGTACTGAGTAAAGCATAATTTTGATTGAGTCCCATGTTTGAAACATTCATTTACCTATGTGATTAATTAATAATGGTTACTCATTTTCATTCAAAGTATGTTCGGTGAAGTACCCTCTAATGAATGAAACGAGCTCCTTCATAAACTCCAAGGAAGAAGACCAACGTTAATACATTACATGCTTAACATGATGGGGGAAGGGAAGGGGTCCATGTAATTTTGACCCATGACGTGGGGGTAAAGCTGTCTCCTGGAATTTGGTAAATCACATTGTTCATTGTTCAAATTTTCAGTGCAACCTAGAAGAAACTTTCCCCTTTCAAACCATAGAAAATTCTTTCTTCAAGGTCCAAATGTTAGTTTCAATAGTGTAAAGTCTTCCTCTAGACTTTGCAGGAGACCATGACTTAGTCGTATTTTTTTAATTTTTCTCTGTTTTGTTTCTTTTTACCGTGTAAAAGAAACATAATATACTTTGAATCAACCAGTTGAACGAATTAAAGCAGTAGCTCAGAAGCCTTCCGAAAAACCAACATTCAATTCAAACTCCTTTTTATATTTCCATCTCTCAGCTTGTGTTCATGTTCATATTCAACAAAAATCAACCCAATAAACACAAACATACAGTAACCATGGAGGACTCCGTTTATTCTCTAATCCTCAAGGGATGCAAGTTGTCTCAAGACCTTCAATCTAACCTACCCACCATTGGTAATCAACCCAACTTGCTTCTCAGAGCATGTGATGATATTATAAGGACATTTGCTACTGCCAGAGAACGCATAAATGGTCAGGTAGGCGCCCAAGCTCAATTACCTTCTCTACCAGGCCCTTTCTTTTATCCACCCATGATGTTTCCTGAGCAGCAGCTGCAGAATATTGATCCAAGTTTGCAGGAATGGCTAAAGTCTAGCGTCACACAAGCCATGGAGGACGTGATTCAAACGCAACTTTTAGCTGATCAGAGAAGCTCACTTACCATCAGAGATCATGCAGAAGGTTCATCATCAACACGATTGAGAGGCTCCGGAGGAGATGTTGAGGCAATGGATGTTGTATCGGATTCTGCTGTCAGAAGTACGACTTCTCCTCCACTGAGACACCGACGAAGGTAATTAACGATAAAAATCCTTTGAATTATGAGACTAAATTCATGGTAACGTAGTACCTGGAAATTAACTTTTTAGATAACTTGTTCTTTACTCAGAAAGACTAAAGCAATTTCTTATGACTTGTTTTTGCCGAAAGGAAAATGTCCTGAAAGCACAAGCAGCATGTCCATGCTATTTCTCAGAAAATACCAATAAAATATTTATACCCTATAGATATCACACTCACTAATTAATTCCATATTTATTAAACACTTTTGTTTTCGTCTGGGCAGCCTTCACCAAAAATGTTGTATGCTAGCAAGTTTTTAGTTTTGTTAATATTTGATTCTTTGTATGTAGTGAGAATGCAAGAACAGTGATGGTACCAGCTCCTCGGTTTGGAAATGTGGAAATTCCACCGGAAGATGGCTACACTTGGAGAAAATACGGGCAGAAAGAGATACTGAATTCAAAGTACCCGAGGTACGTACATGCAATATCTATCAAGTGAGATCTAGTTAGTTATGGCCATATGGGTTTTTTTAGATGACTAAATTGACATATTCAAATTATACTAATAAACTAAATTGTGAGGTCTAGAGATGGAAGGTCTTTGATTGAAACTACGTTTACTGTCAATTTTTCTGGTCGTCTTTCCACAAGTTTGATCAAGTATACATAAGTAGGCTAGAATTTGACCAAGTCTTTTGATGCTATTAATTGTCAAAAGAGATTAGTTAGTAGAAACCCAATGAAGAAGACTCATTGGTCTTTTACATAACTAATCATGGGGTTGGAGACTACCAGATTAATTAAATTTTAATATTTGTTTCAGGAGTTATTACAGGTGCACACACCAAAAGTTGTACCAGTGCCCTGCCAAGAAGCAAGTTCAGAGATTGGATAATGATCCCTCTACATTTGAAGTAACATACAATGGTGAACACACATGCCACATGTCATCTACAGCACCATCAATCCCAGTTTCAGCATCAGAAATTACGCAAGAGATGAGTAGACAAGCTATTACCATGCAACAACCTTCACCAACTACTAGTCTTGGCACATGGCTCTCCATGGAGGTAGGGGCTGGAGGGAGTGGTAGAAGCAGCATGGTTGGCGGCTATAGTGGCGGCAGCGGTAATGCAGGAGCAGGACCCTCCACCATTCGATGTGACAGTAAGGATGGCGATCAGTATCTGCAAGTGGCAAATATGGCTGATGCAATGTTTAACTCTGGCAGTAGTAGCAGCAATAGCATGGAATTTATCTTCCCTGCTAGTATGGATCAAGAAAAATGGCAGCCAGAAGACAAGAAAGATTGATATATATTTATTCAGTTAGTTTCCTTTTTTTTTTCCTTTAAATGTTTGCATTTATTTAAATGCGAACCGAGTTAATTGATGTTAGCTAAAGTTACTAAAAAAAATTTGGATTAAGGTTTCTATATAGAAGGTTACGAAATTTTGAGACACTGAATGAATAATGTGTTTTGATTTAAAAGATCAGAAAGCTTACAATTTAAATTCTAAGTAGTATTCATACGTTAGAACTAGTCCCCAACACAAAAGCAAAGAGACTGGATGAAGGTCCAAGAAACACAAAATATTGATCTTTTTTTCTCAAGAAAAAGAAACAAGAAAGAAATATCGGGGATAAAATTTCAATGGCTAGATGATTGTGGACTGGTGGGATTACTTAGAGTTACATTAAAATTCCAGATTCCTTGTTCCTGGAACTTCACTTTACCCTTCAAAGACGGTATCTATGCTAGCTGCACGTTGCCCCTTACACTGGGTCGATCTTTGTCTCTTGTTCTAGACAGTGATGGCAGTCATTGATTGATCCAACTTGCATAGAAATGACGCCGAGATAACAGGAGTTTATTATACCATATATCACTTCACTAATTATCATTCCATCAAAATGCATATGCTTTAAAGATTTCCTTTGACCCTACTCCCATCTCCTGACTCCTCCCAAATAAAATCAAATCCACGTAACTCTATTCATTTCTGATTCCAATAAAGCTTCGAGTTTAAGAAAACAATATCTTTTTAGGCCGTACTTGTTTTTCTATTAAAAATACTATCCTATCTAATCATATTAACACCCAAAAAATAAAAATTTATAAATTGACAAAATTATCCCCACCCATCCACATATTCCCGACAGTCGGCCATCACCATAAGAAAGTGGTTGGAATCTGTCAGAATGGCTAGATGTAGCCAGTCGTGCGTTGATCTGACATTTTCCGACCAAATTCACCATAGATCATACCCAGAAATGTTAGATCTACAGCCAAAGATTTAGTCGTTGATGGCCAGATCTAATCATCAACAATGGCTATATTTTGATTGTCGTTGATGGTCAAACGATGGCCAAGATATGGCTGTCGTCAATGACCAGATCTTTGACTGTAGGTCTAGCCGTTTTTTGTCATATCGACGCACTACCAACCAAATCCAATCGATCATACATCATTCCGATGACTTTCGACCACCGTCCAACAGTAGTGGCTGGCCGTCGACATTTAATGGGTGGGTAAAGATATTTTTGTTAATTTTAAAATTTTTATTATAGGGGGTGTTTAGCTAAATTAACAAATATAGGGGATTAAAAAATAATCTAAATATTTACAGAAAATGTTTGCAAAAAATTTACCAAATATATTTTCAAATTCAAATCATATTCTCATAATAACAATCTAACTCAACTTTAAAAAAAAATACTATTCTAAATACTCTACCAAACACGGTCAATTATATTTATCTTGGATAAATAAATCTACCTAAAAATCATGGAGATTGAGGAAGCTGAAAACTAATTTCCAAAAACTTGGAGATTACAAGACTTGGGGACTTTACATGTATGGTAACGTTGGAGTCAAATTAGCCAGCTGTCTTAAATTGTCTAATCCCCATCATGTCAACCCCACAGATTTTCCCACCAGAAGCATATCCAATTAGATACTGACATACTGTAAACAATTCTAGTTACTGCCCCGCCCAAAATTACATGCCACTGATCAAAATATATGAATTCAAGATTCTAATCCAAGTATATATGCATATTGCTTGGGGGGGGTGGTAAAAAACACAGTTTCCTTATCACATTTTAAGGTTAAAGGAGCAGTGGCTTAGCCAAATCCCACACGCAACAAACCTTTATATGGTCAAATTAACAACCTGTCTAATCTCCTTAACAAATTTTCCACAAGTAGATTTGGAAATTAATGTGTGTGGCAATTGGCATGAATCATTAAAGAGGAAATTTTGATGCCAAAACTAAAGAACTGAAAATGGTGGCTCTACTTATTTCACAAAAACTAATGTACATATACATAGAAGGAACTCAAATAGCTAGCTAATTAAGAAGGAACTCACTCTCATCAAAATGAAACTCTCTGTCTAAATCTATGTCAAAGCTATTGGAAGGCATCTTATTACATGAATACACAGTAGAAACTGCAGCAGCAGCAGGATCAGATGATTCAAAAGGAACTAGATCATCCCACACAACTGAATCCAAAGATGATAAGTTTTCAGATATATCATCACTTTGTGTTGTCTCTTCCTTACATTCTTGCTTTATTTTTGTTGGGGTATAACTATTCAATGACCTGACAATATGAGAACCAGTTGTTCCCCAAGGATGATCAGAATCTGTGATGATTTTTGGAGCAGTGAATAAATCTTTGCAAGTATGGTTGCCTATGTATGTTATCTCAAACATTTCTGGATTATCTTCCATTCTTTGGACTTGTTTTGTTGCTCTGCAACCTTGGTCATACTTATGTGTGCACCTATAGTAACTCCTGCATTAATCAAAATTGGGGGGTCACTCATGATCTTCAAAATACAATTTTTATTAGTTAATTATTAACTTTCTGTATAAAACTTGAATATACCTTGGGTGCTTAGCATTGAGGATCTCCTTTTGCCCATATTTCCTCCAAGCATGAGCATCTTCTACGGTGGAAGACACCATTCTCCATGTATCTAAATTCTTCCTGCAAGAATTTACTTTCTACTGTCAAACTATGGACTAATTTATTCATTAATCTTATTGAATATTGGCACTTGCAAGGTATTGTAAGTGGTGCTAATCATGAAAGAACTATTAATTTAACCAGTAGTAGTGAAAAATATTAGTCAACATTCAAACAGTTACTACAAATTAAACACTAGTCTATTATCAAATCATCAATAAACTTACTTTCTCTTGTAACAACCTCTCCTGTCCTTATTGGAAAAAGCCGGCCGTTTTTGACTCTCGCCGGAATCTTCCAATCGCCGGTCATCCGTACAAGGTGAACCATTGGAAGAATTAGTAGGCGGAAGCAGCTGCAGCTGGTGATAATCACGATCATCAGAAACAAGAAGCTCAGAAGTAGTACCAGAACTGAGTGCAGAGAGAGACTCAGTGAAAGATCTCAAGATCTTAACAGCAAGCTCCTGTTGATGAGATGAAACCAACCCATGTTGTTGTTGTTGTTGAAAGGGTTTGTGTTCATCATGAAGAAGAAGCCGAAGCTCGTTTGCAAACTTCTGGCCTTGAAGAAGCTCTTGTATCAACTTATTCCGGTAGGAACAAAGATCAGCCATAGTAAGAATGGCTAAAAGGTAATGTTAAGAGTGTATTACTTAATCAAGCAACAGAAAATGAAGTAGTTAAAACGTGAGTTACTTGATTGCTTGCATAATGGAGGAGTAATGGATATATATTAGAAAAGTAGTGGAGAGGGATCAATTAATAAAAAGAGCTTTATTGACGATAAAGAAGAAGAGGAAAGAGAGAAGAAAAGACGAGGAAGATGTAAGGAAGGAGGCATTGAATAAAGAAACATGCTTACGAGAGCAATGGTGACGTTTGGTTTGTGATGCAAAGCTGATGTTATATTCTAAACCCTTTTTCTTTCATTCTTATCCGGTACATTTTTTTAATCAAATTAATTCTTTGAATCATGCATTATTATTTATTACTCTTGTTCTACTTTTGATACGGTTTTTGACACTTTTTAAAGAACATTTACCCACCCAGGTTCGACGAATCTACAAGATTCCACCCATGGTTTCATAAATTGCAAATTCCCACCCAATTTAAAAACTTTGATTAAGGTATATTTGCTTTGACTAGTTAAATACCCTTTTTACCCCTTATTGTAATAATGAGTAAATTACTTTCTAATCCTCAAATTAATAGAATTAGCAAAACAACTATCTTCTTTTCAAATTTATTTCAATAACACTCTCTTCTTCAACCTTCCACTCGATAGCCAGATTTGGCCACCAAGATCTTCTTTGTCTCTATCTCTTTTCCTCTTCGTCGAGATTGAACGTTTGAAATTTAAAACCACAAGTGAGAACTTTAGATATTGGCCAAACCTTTGGTGAGTAAATGTCTTTTACTCCTTATAAAATAAAAGATGTGGGATTTCATAATATCCCACGACAAATAAAAGGATTTATTTGTGACTGAATAAGGCTATTTTCTAGAATATTGAAAAACCAAAATTCATAATACTCTTCAACTTTGGTGGAAAATTCTACGGTTAGTGTTTTAAGATATTATTAAGTGGCACAACTTGGGGACAAATATTCAAAGTCAAGAGGGAAAGGATGTCATTAAACTAAATATTCACCAATGAGAGAACATAAAAAACAAATACACATAATTGTGCCACGTGACCGCCACATTCAATGAACCCTTTCAACCATATACTAATGCAACTATGTTTGCAATTACCTTAATCTAATCCACCATTTGAGCATGTTCCTTTACTATATTGAGACCACAAAATTATTATGTAAATAGATTTATTGCATATTGCACCATTTGGAAGCTATCTACTTAACCACTGTTTGCAAGTGACAATTCTTTTATATAAATATTATTATAATATGTTTCCCTATTTTCAGTCAATGTCTTGCTGGGTTTGTTGACGTGGACTATTTTGGGTCCTCCCTGGGATTGTTTCTATCCACTGTCTAAAATTCTTGTAAAATTTCTAATTCTAGAAGCATTTTTTTTTTTAAAGATAAAATTACAAAATTACTATAATATCTTTATTATTTGAGTTTATAATTTTATAAAATTTCCTACAATTAAAAAAAAAAAATTCTAAATCTTTTTTCTTTTAAAAACTCAATTCACTATCATCTTTATGCAAAAGAGTAATGTTATGCTTACTCACGATCTTACTAACCATTTTATTATCCTTTGTAAATATAACGCATAGTACGGGTACTATATGTATAGTACGGATACCATATGTAATTTTAACAAAGGTAGTATTAAGGCAGTTAATAAACTCGTGAGTAAGCATAGCATTATTGTATGCAAAAGAATCTCGCACCCACCGCCTAACCGATTCCACCACTCCCTCTTGTTCATGGCAAGCCAAAATTAACGCCACCAACGGTGTCGTATTTGTTTCTTCTTTAGTTAATTGGCAAGTCTCAACCACGTTTCGGTGTTCCTAACCTTTCTATTGGCTCTCCTTTTTCGGAACCTCCTCCAGCTTGTTTATATTTACCTCCTTGTAACAACTGATGTAAACTAGTACAATGCATGCATAATAATAATAGAAAATGGGCCCAAAACTTTTCTTTTTATTATATGTAATAAGTCTTTTATACACAAAGAGCATTATTTACAAAATGCCATTTAAAAAGACGAAAAAATAGGGGAAACAGTATAGCTATTGCTCCTCGCTTGCTGACGCCCCTCCGACTGCATCATCACCTAGATCCTGCATCCACAAAGGAAAATAATGGGGTGAGCACAAAATAATGCTCAGTAAGTAAACCCTCTATCTGTCTATCCCCGTATGTATTTCTCTTAATTCTTTCCTTACACTTTCTGTTGTTTTCTACTAAACGTCATGGCCTCATCTTATCGGAGGTACTGCCGGATGGCGTTCACATAGCACCATCTCACTCTTCATGACTGTCAGGTGGAGTTCACACAGCACCAACCCACTCTTAGTGACTACCGAGTGGGGATCACGAAGCACCTACCTGGTTTTCGTAACTATCGGGTGGAGACCACAAAGCACCTACCCGTTCCTCATGACTTTCGAGTGACGATCACAAAGCATCAACCCGTTTCTAATAACTAATTGGGTGACGATCACAAAGCATCAACCCGTTNAAGAAAGAAATATCGGGGATAAAATTTCAATGGCCAAAGATGAAGGTTGATGATTGTGGACTGGTGGGAGTAAGAACAGTTGCGTTAAAATTCCAGATACGTTGTTCCTGGAACTTCACTTTACCCTTCAAAGACGGTGTCTATGCTAGCTGCACTTTGCCCCTTACACTGGGTCGATCTTTGTCTCTTGTTCTAGACAGTGATGGCAGTGATTGATTGATCCAACTTGCATAGAAATGACGCCGAGATAACAGGAGTTTATTCTACCATATATCACTTCATTTATTATCATTCAACTTAATCACATGTTTACTGTATTTTTTTGGGCTTAACCACACATGGACATGACATTCCATCAAAATGCATATGCTTTAAAGATTTCCTTTGACCCTACTACCGACCAAATCCAATCGGTCATACATCATTTCGATGACTTTCGACCACCATCCGACAGTGGTGACTAGCTGCTGACATTTAATGGGTGGATGAAAGTGTTTTTGTTAATTTTAAAATTTTTATTATAGGGGGTGTTTAGCTAAATTAACAAATATAGGGAATTAAAAAATAATCTAAATATTTACAGAAAATGTTTTCAAAAAATTTATGAAACATATTTTCAAATTCAAATCATATTCTCATAATAACAATCTAACTCAACTTTAAAAAAAAAAATACTGTTCTAAATACTCTATCAAACACGGCCAATTGTATTTATCTTAGATCAATAAATCTACCTCAAAATCATGGAGATTGAGGAAGCTGAAAACTAATTTCCAAAAACTATTTTATGGTGCTTGATTACAAGACTTGGAGACTTTACATGTATGGTAACGTTGGAGTCAAATTAGCCACCTGTCTTAAATTGTCTAATCCCCTTCATGTCAACCCCACAGATTTTCCCACCAGAAGCATATCCAATTAGATAATGACATACTGTAAACAATTCTAGTTACTGCCCCGCCCAAAATTACATGCCACTGATCAAAATCTATGAATTCAAGATTCTAATCCAAGTATATATGCATATTGCTTGGGGGGGGTGGTAAAAAACACAGTTTCCTTATCACATTTTAAGGTTAAAGGAGCAGTGGCTTAGCCAAATCCCACACGCAACAAACCTTTATATGGTCAAATTAACAACCTGTCTAATCTCCTTAACAAATTTTCCACAAGTAGATTTGGAAATTAATGTGTGTGGCAATTGGCATGAATCATTAAAGAGGAAATTTTGATGCCAAAACTAAAGAACTGAAAATGGTGGCTCTACTTATTTCACAAAAACTAATGTACATATACATAGAAGGAACTCAAATAGCTAGCTAATTAAGAAGGAACTCACTCTCATCAAAATGAAACTCTCTGTCTAAATCTATGTCAAAGCTATTGGAAGGCATCTTATTACATGAATACACAGTAGAAACTGCAGCAGCAGCAGGATCAGATGATTCAAAAGGAACTAGATCATCCCACACAACTGAATCCAAAGATGATAAGTTTTCAGATATATCATCACTTTGTGTTGTCTCTTCCTTACATTCTTGCTTTATTTTTGTTGGGGTATAACTATTCAATGACCTGACAATATGAGAACCAGTTGTTCCCCAAGGATGATCAGAATCTGTGATGATTTTTGGAGCAGTGAATAAATCTTTGCAAGTATGGTTGCCTATGTATGTTATCTCAAACATTTCTGGATTATCTTCCATTCTTTGGACTTGTTTTGTTGCTCTGCAACCTTGGTCATACTTATGTGTGCACCTATAGTAACTCCTGCATTAATCAAAATTGGGGGGTCACTCATGATCTTCAAAATACAATTTTTATTAGTTAATTATTAACTTTCTGTATAAAACTTGAATATACCTTGGGTGCTTAGCATTGAGGATCTCCTTTTGCCCATATTTCCTCCAAGCATGAGCATCTTCTACGGTGGAAGACACCATTCTCCATGTATCTAAATTCTTCCTGCAAGAATTTACTTTCTACTGTCAAACTATGGACTAATTTATTCATTAATCTTATTGAATATTGGCACTTGCAAGGTATTGTAAGTGGTGCTAATCATGAAAGAACTATTAATTTAACCAGTAGTAGTGAAAAATATTAGTCAACATTCAAACAGTTACTACAAATTAAACACTAGTCTATTATCAAATCATCAATAAACTTACTTTCTCTTGTAACAACCTCTCCTGTCCTTATTGGAAAAAGCCGGCCGTTTTTGACTCTCGCCGGAATCTTCCAATCGCCGGTCATCCGTACAAGGTGAACCATTGGAAGAATTAGTAGGCGGAAGCAGCTGCAGCTGGTGATAATCACGATCATCAGAAACAAGAAGCTCAGAAGTAGTACCAGAACTGAGTGCAGAGAGAGACTCAGTGAAAGATCTCAAGATCTTAACAGCAAGCTCCTGTTGATGAGATGAAACCAACCCATGTTGTTGTTGTTGTTGAAAGGGTTTGTGTTCATCATGAAGAAGAAGCCGAAGCTCGTTTGCAAACTTCTGGCCTTGAAGAAGCTCTTGTATCAACTTATTCCGGTAGGAGCAAAGAGCAGCCATAGTAAGAATGGCTAAAAGGTAATGTTAAGAGTGTATTACTTAATCAAGCAACAGAAAATGAAGTAGTTAAAACGTGAGTTACTTGATTGCTTGCATAATGGAGGAGTAATGGATATATATTAGAAAAGTAGTGGAGAGGGATCAATTAATAAAAAGAGCTTTATTGACGATAAAGGAGAAGAGGAAAGAGAGAAGAAAAGAAGAGGAAGATGTAAGGAAGGAGGGATTGAATAAAGAAACATGCTTACAAGAGCAATGGTGACGTTTGGTTTGTGATGCAAAGCTGATGTTATAATCTAAACCCTTTCTCTTTCATTCTTATCTGGTTTACATTTTTTTAATCAAATTAATTCTTTCTTTCAATATGAATCATGCATTATTCTTGTTCTACTTTTGATAGAATAATGAGTCAATTACTTTCTAATCCTCAAATTAATAGAATTAGCAAAATAACTATCTTCCTTTCAAATTTATTTCAATAACACAACCAGGCCACTCGATAGCCAGATCTGGCCACCAAGATCTTTCTCTTTTTCTCTTCTCCTCGGCGGCCAAATCTGATCACCGAGATTTAACGTTTGAAATTTAAAACCACATGTTAGAACTTTAGATATTCGCCAAACCTTTGATGAGTAACTGTGCTTTACTCCTTATAAAATAAAAGATGTGGGATTTATTTGTGAATGAATAAGGCTATTTTCTAGAATATTGAAAAACCAAAATTCATAATACTCTTCAACTTTGGTGGAAAATTCTACGGTTGGTGTTTTAAAGATATTATTAAGTGGCACAACTTGGGGACAAATATTCAAAGTCAAGAGATAAATGATGTCATTAAACTAAATATTCACCAATGAGAGAAACATAAAAAACAAATATGCCATGTGTAAGAGTGTCTCAGACCGCCAGATTCAATGAACCCTTTGAACCATATAATAATGCAACTTTGTTTGTAATTACATTAATCTAATCCACCATTTGAGCATGTTGCTTTACTATATTATTATGTAAATAGATTTATTGCATATTGCCTCATTTGGAAGCTATCTACTTAACCACTGTTTGCAAGTGACAATTCTTTTATATAAATATGTTTTTCCTATTTTCAGTCAATGTCTTGCCGGGTTTGTTGACGTGGACTATTTTGGATCCTCCCTGGGATTGTTTCTATCCACCGTCTAAAATTCTTGTAAAATTTCTAATTCTAGAAGCATTTTTCATAGATTATTGCTACTTAAGTGTTCAAAATTCTCATCTAAGGGAGAGTATTCTAAAACAACGGGTCATCGGTCCCAGGCCCAGGCTTGGCCTGGATAAGATCGGTCCTATGCAGGCTTGATAAATACCCATTTAACCTCATAATTTTTTATATATTTTGGGGTAATAATATTTATGTAAGGGGGTTTTTGTGATTTATCAGGGGGTGATTTATAAATTTTTAATTAACTACTTAATAAAAAAATAAATGGTTTTAATTTATAATATTTTTTTTTTTTTTTTTGAAAAATTATTTTCAACCCCTAAATTTATTATGTATTTTAGAGAGGTTTTGGTTATTTGTAAGGGGTATTTTAAAATTAACCGAACCTAGCTTGGGATTGGTCCCATGCTCAGGCTTAGAGAAGGGCCTGGGCTCAATCACCCCTCCCTAGGGCCCAGGCCGGTCTTGGGACTTGTTTTATAGGGACCAATCCTCCCAAGGACTGGTCCTTGGGCCCGGGCCCTTTGCCCGAACTTTTTGCCCAGTTCTATGTGGATTAGCCTAAATGGTTAAAGCGAATTGGGGATCCTGTGGATAAGTGCACAAGCGCAGGAATATTTTGCAATTATATGTGGGATTTGCATCTATAATATTATTAATTCATTTATTAAAATGATAAATTATAAACTCCAAAAGAAAAAAAAATGGTAATTAAAACCAAAATTCAATATAGTATTAGTATGGGAGAACTACTTTTTCCCACCCAAGGTTTGGTGAAACGACACTTTCCCACCCATCAAGTTTCAAAATGACACTTTCCCACCCATCGTTAAGATCCGTTAATGAAATATGTTATCTAACAAGATAAAATTACAAAAATACTATAATATCCTTATTATTTGAGTTTATAATTTTATAAAATTTGCTATAATTAAAAAAAAAAATCTAAATCTTTTTTCTTTTAAAAACTCAATTCACTATTATCTTTATGCAAAAAACATCTCTCACCCACTGCCTAACCAACGCCACCACTCCCTCTTGTTCATGGCAAGCCAAAAGTAGCACCACCAACGGTGTCATATTTGTTTCTTCTTTAGCTAACTGGCAAGTCTCAACCACGTTTCGGTGTTCCTTACCTTTTTGTTGGCTTTCCTTTTTCGAAACCTCCTCTAGCTTGTTTATATTTACCTCTTGCTTAGAAAGTCTGTGCTTCTTCCCAGCTAACTTCTCCTTTTTGGTTCTCTCTAGATTTAATTCGAAGTCAGCAACTTGCAAGACTATGCTTTCTATTTTTCTTGCCCAAATTTTTTTTCTTTGTCAAATAAAAGGGCCTTGGGTGGCAACCTCCCTCTCCCCTCCAAAAAGCCCACCACAATTACTCACGACCCAGCCGCTAATGTTGGCAACCTTGCTCTAGAATTTATGTCACACAGGCAATGTCAAAAATTTACTTTCATGGATTTTTTGGGTTTGATTTTGTATCTTCTTTTTCTTTTGTTTTGTTTATTATGAATTTATGTTCATAGAGTTAAGGTGGAGGAATTTTTGATGGAATTAGAAGTGAATATTTCTGTAAAGCAAATTCTAGGTTGTTTGGAAGATGTATGTGAACAAAATTTAGGGTTGAAAATTTGTGAAGGCAGAATCCTTTGCTCTTTTTCATTCTCTGTTCCAATTCTCTCCCTCTACTTTATTTGATTGATGTTGTGTGTAACTACTTAGTCATCGACGAGTGCCCATCATTTACAACCTTCCCACAGGCAACTCACCCACCACCTATTTGACAAATTTTCTCACCCAAACTAAATTCTAGTTTTTTAGAGCAATTCTGTTAAGCAAAATCTGGATTGTATGGAAGGTTTATGTGAAGTAATTTCTTGGTTGTATTGAAGAATTATGAAAAACAAATTTGATCTAACAGAAGAATCATGTATAATCTTTTTATAAGGAAGATTTCGGTATATAGAAGAATTATATAAAATTTTACTGTATGAAAGATTTAAGTTTAATTTTTAATCATAATATCAACATATGATATTAATTTATTTATTATATTTACAGATTTATTAATTAACAGAGTATATATATATATATATATATATTGTGTGAAGTGTGAACCGACAAAAATACCTTTTTTACTGTTAAAATTAACGTTTAAATTTAACAAGGGGGGGAAAAGTGTCGTTTTAAAACTTGGCGGGTGGGAGAATGTCGTTTCGCCAAACCCTGGGTGGGAAAATGTCGTTCTCCCTATTAGTATTTGTAACACTACAAGTAGCACAGGGCATTTGCGAATGCGCGGTTCTGCCTGTATGATTAGGTGTAGGTCACCTCCATTACTAGTCCTGAGGATGTTATCATCTTCCATTTCTCACCCAAACCCTAATCTTAAATTACCTAAAACCATGAAACCCACCTCACAAAACCCCCAAATGTCTAACCTTTTCTCAAATTCCAATAGAATCTCTCAATCCATTACACTTTCCACCGGCTGCTTCACTAGTTCTTCTGAGCCCATCCCCATTGTATACCAATCCCAATTAACAAACCCACAACCTGAGTTGGATGACCCCAATCCGCTTGTGGTTGTCTCCTTCTACAAGTTTGCGGATTTCCCCGACCATGCTGAGTGGCGGAAGCCATTGAAGGAGCTTTGTCAGGAACTGGTACTTGTCTCTCTTATTAATTTATTTTTATTTGTACTGAAATTATTATCTTTTGAATGCAAGACTTGTTATTTACGTCTCTAATTACATAATGTTATAGGTATACTAGTGGAAACAGTGTAAATGAAGTAACTTTGATCATTTTTGTGTTGTTTGTTTCAGATTTTTATTTTTTTATTTTTTTAGATTTTGGTTGCTTTTGTAAGCTAGGGCAATTGTAATTTGCATGGGTACTTATATTCTTTCACCTTTTGGTACATAAATTGTCAACATGTGGTTAGTTTAGGCATTGTTCAATTTGAAGTTTGCCATTGAAGAAATTTGAAAGTAACTGTTTTTATCTAGCAGAATTAGCTTGAACTGAAGCTCTGCTAAGTATTGTTCAGTAAATTTCACATGTTGGAGATGCCTTACCAAGCTGATCCTCCTCAGCGTGTTTCAGGTGGTATCATTCTTGCACCAGAAGGGATCAATGGCAGCATATGTGGGACGCAAGAGTCTGTGGAAAAAGTTCTTACATTCATTCAAAGTGATGAACGTTTGAAGGGGCTAAGACAAATAGAGTCTCCTGTCAGTCCTGAGGAGGAGGCTATACATCATGGGCACAGCAGCGGTTCTCCTCTGGCAGCTGGGGAAGATGCTCCCTTTCGGTGGGATCATGTGAGGGTCAAGTTGAAGAAAGAGGTATTGCTTAGTAAGCCTTTGTCATGGGGTATTCTTTGTCTAAATTTAAAGTGATTACCTTTGTCAGAGGAAGCAAATCTATCAAAACTTCTTGTGAGGTTTTCTTATTTGTTACTTGCGTCTGTTAATGTAGATTGTTACTCTTGGAATGCCGGCTGTATCACCTATTGAAAAGGTTGGGAAGTATGTGAAGCCTAGAGAGTGGAATACTTTGATTAGTGATCCCGATACGGTAACCAAATGCTCTTTTGTGATTTTTTTAATCTATTTTTTAAGTTGTTACTAAGAGCCTAAGAAGTACGCAAAATATCTACTTTTGTTTCCTTTCATAGAAAGTGCCTGTTGAATTCCTTAACTCCATCTTGATTGTGGCTGGAGCAGGTACCTATATTTAGCTCAGTTAAGAAATTTGCTGTCAAAAGAAAATCTAGAATTGTCAATCTATTACAAGCTAAGTGATTGCATAAATTCTGGGCATTCACTTTACATTATTACATGTGAAGAGATTGGACTAATAATACATGCTGTAAGTTGGCATAGTCCTTGATGAAACATGCAAGGAGTAGGTGCTGCTTTTGTAGACCATTCCTTATTTTTAAAGTTACATGTATTTAAGTCTTATAAGTAAAATATGTTTTTAGGTGGTGATTGATGTGCGCAATAACTATGAAACTAGAATTGGAAAGTTTAAAGGAGCAGTCGATCCATTTACTACAGCATTTCGTGAGTTTCCATCTTGGGTGGATGATCAGTTCCAACTTGAGAAAACTGCTGGCAATCAGTCAGAGTTAGGGATGAAGGATTCAAATGAAATCACCAATAAAGAATTGGAGAGTCCAAAAAAGAAAATGCCAAAGCGGGTTGCAATGTACTGCACAGGAGGAATTCGATGTGAGAAGGCTTCCAGTTTTCTCCTAAGCAGAGGTTTCAATGAGGNAACTGCTGGCAATCAGTCAGAGTTAGGGATGAAGGATTCAAATGAAATCACCAATAAAGAATTGGAGAGTCCAAAAAAGAAAATGCCAAAGCGGGTTGCAATGTACTGCACAGGAGGAATTCGATGTGAGAAGGCTTCCAGTTTTCTCCTAAGCAAAGGTTTCAAAGAGGTATCTCTTTTTGGACTCTCATTAATTCCAATAAAGCTACTTTGTGAAATATCTTATTATGGTATTTGACAAGTGATAATGGTGAATTTATCAGGTGTATCATTTGGAAGGAGGGATTCTGAAATACCTTGAGGAAGTCCCGAAGACCAAGAGCCTCTGGGAGGGTGAGTGCTTTGTGTTTGACAAGCGAGTGTCTGTTGAACATGGATTGGAACAAGGAACTTTCAAGCTTTGCTATGGATGCAAACAACCGGTAAGCGATGCTGACATGGAAGCCCCTGAGTGGGAGTATGGAGTTACCTGTCCACATTGTTACTCGTCAAAATCTGAAGAGGAGAAAGAAAGAGCAAGAGCAAGGAAAAGACAATTCGAGAGTTGGGGCATTATCGGTGGTCCTGACAAGGGTCAACGACCAACATCAAAGACCAATACTGTAAATAAGAACTTTTCCCAGATTTCAAGTTCAGTTTAGCTTAGTTGAGAGGATGTAATCCAAAAGAAACACAAGTTTTGTTGTTTGTTTTTCTTTTTGGCAGTTGGTGTGTATGTGTTCTTTCTCGATGAGAGACAAAAATGTAGTCATATTGGAGATTGTTTACCTTTGTATTATTGATATTGAATACTTCAAACTAAACCGGTTTACAAACTTAATAAACTGTTTAATAAATTTAATTTGAAACGAATATAAGAAAAACTAATTTATTAATTACTTTTAATTATTTAATTTAAGATTAAAAATTACTGAATTGGGAACTAAGCTAATGTTTAGTCTCCACCGTTCATATAGAAACAATCTAACGGTGTAAAACGAATAGGAATTTTAATATAAAATAAACTATTTCTGGGTGATTGATATTGACAATAACATCCGAGGAAGAAACAAAGATCTGGTTCATTAAAGTCGATTAGGGTTACAAAATGGCCGGCGAATCTGCCATGTTCAAGTTCCTAAGGCCAAGGCTTCGTCCTCAACCGGCAGACATCCAGGCCGCCGCCTTATGGGGTGTCGCTGCCACCACCACCGCAATTTGGCTCGTCCAAGTACAAAATCTTACTTTTCTCTTTCTCTTTTACTCGAAACAACGTTCTGTTTGAAATTTGAATTTTTGTCTAGGTTTTGTTTGAAATTTGATATCTTATATATGGGTTTGATTGAAAAATTGAAATATATGGTACTTGCAATTTAAATACTACTGTATGTAATCCAAATTTTTGTAGTGTTAAATTTTGGAATGAATTTTGAAATGTTGTGGGATGAAAATAGATGTACCTGTTCCACATAATCTGGTAAAAATTGATAATTAAGATCTAAGCTCGATATGCTATTGTTATTAGTGTCAACGGATATGTATTCGTTTTCTTTTGTTAAAGAGAAAACAAAAAAAATCATGGTGATGGTTTGTTGGATGATGAGAAATTAGTATGTTCATTTAGTTGGTTATCTTCACAGAAATTTAGTTGCATCTTGGTGGTAATACTACTATTACTAGTTAATAACTTAAATGTATCCTTATTGTGCTTGATTTATTCATACTTTCATAATTTTCTTTCTTAAGGTGATTGGTTGGCTAATGGCTTGAAATTTGTGTTTGTATGAAAATTGATATTAGATTGCATGTTTAAGTTAAATACTGCTGTTGATCCTGCTGTTTTTTTGGTTACCTCTATTGACTTAATGTATGTTTTCTCTACAATAGAATGTTGTCTTGAAAGTTGTGTTTGTATGGAAATTGATTATGAGAATGCATGTTTGAATTATATATTGCAGGATGTGGTTGTATGAAATTATAATATTAGAATGCATGTTTATGTTAGATTATTATAGGTGATCATGTTGTATTTTTGCAACTTCTGATAGCTTAACGTTTTTTTTGCAGCCTTTCGATTGGCTGAAAAAGACCTTTTTGGAGAAGCCAACTGAAGAACAGTAGGGATAGAAACATGGTGAAGCTTTCTGATTTCGTCTGTGAGGTTTTTTATGAGAAAAAAAATGAAAACAATTTGTTTGAATAATGTACTCATCTCCTTTTGTTGAGGTCTTTCTGTTAGAAATTGCTGGGAACATTTTGTGTTCATGAGAATTTTCACTTTATTCAAAGAGTGGAAGTGTAATTTTTTTATTCTGATGTTCAAAGCAAACATACTGGATCAGAGCTAGTGCCATCTCCATAAAGGAAAATCTAGTTGATCAAGCACTTGCTAATATTACATAATGTTATTGATCCAGAGGACCAGATGGGATGAGTTTGATTGGGACTAAGCAGAACACAAACAAGGGTTGAGTTTGATTTGGGACCCAACTCATAAAAATCTTAACTTGAAGCAAGCATATAAATAATAGAATTATTATTGAAGGAAGGATTGAAATTAAGAAGAATTTACATATAATTGTAAAATGATAATGGGAAATTTATTGAACTGCTCCCATGTACAAACATGTATGATAAAAACACAGGAATGATATCTATTATTAGAAACTGAAGCAAATATCTATGTAACAAACAGTGTCAATTTCAAGATTGATGATCCTTAAGAGCCTGAAAAACTCTAGAACTCTTATCGAAGATCTGAGCTCTTCGGTTATAATCAGTTGGTTCTTTTCCTTCATCATCTCCCATTATTGCTTCTGTTTCTAGGCATTCTAACAGCTCCTCCATTCCTTTTCTCTCCTTGCACTTGTCTCTTAACCTTCCTATTTTCAGCCATTCTTCCTCTTCAACCTTCATCACATCAATCTCACCCTTATTATCCGACCCCAAAGCCACACACCCATTCTTCCATTGCTGCTGCTTTTGCCTCAGTTTGAAGCTGTAAACCGGAGGATGATGATGGTTTGGACATAGAATAGAGGAGTGTTTGATTATGGTCGATGGAGAAAAGTTGAATATTCTAGCTGATTCTGTGCTCATTGTGATTTAGCTTAAGCTTAAAGTGTTAGCTGTGGTTGATTTGCATTTGTTGGGCTTTCTATAGAAAGTATTGTTAGCAGCTCCCATGGTTCCACGTGTAAGTACGATGTTCAGGAAGGAGACGTGTCAGACAATGGTGGAGCATTCTGGATATGGAATTGAAGAAAAGGGCACGCGCTTCAAAGATAGACTGCCCACCTCTTTTTCAACCCATGTGTACATATTTTACGATACCAAATTGTATACGTACGTTCGGTGTTTATCTTTTGTTGAAATTTTGACATCATTAAATCATAAAAAGGGAAGCTTTTGATTTGCTAGGACAAAGAAAAGCTTCATTCTCTGCTCGAAATCTAGGCAGAGTTCTACAAGTAACACAACTAAACTAGATTAAATCTGTACAAAGATATACCTTTTTCTGAAAATAAAATAAAAAAGAATGACTAATCCATGTAATATAAAATGTGGTTCCTGGACTAATTTTGTCATAATCTCCTATTTAATTCACCTAGCTTGCCATCATCAACATTTCAGTGTTCTCAGCTCGCTGAAATTGCTCCATTGTTGTCCCTCTCAAAATCTGGGGCTAACATCTTCAGCTGTTAAAGTTGATGAAACTGGTAAACATTGCTTTGTTTCACTCCAGTTGTGCTGTTTTATAGCGTATAAAATTAATATCATTGTGCTTGCGATGTATGATCCTTCAGTCTCCTTTCAGCTGCTATAGCTGCTGCTACAGAAGGGGGCAAATGCCTTAGACCTTCAGTTTCAGTTGGCTTTTCATCACTTTCTGGGACGGTGGATGAGGCTGCTGCAAATAGTGACTCAACATCTTTCAGCGTCAAAAGAGGCTGATCTTGATTCCTTGTGTTTCCACTAATGAACGAACTGATGTTCCTGCCTCTATTCAGCTTATATATGCTCTCTTCAACTGTGTCTTTAACCTGACATCATAAAGCAAGAGACAAAATAAATGTCATAGTACAAGCATCTATGCATAATCCAACACCTCTCTCTCTCTCTCTTTCCTTTCATTTAAACAAGTTTGCCATATGATTGAGTGGTTTGTCAGAGTAGACCCATATTGAAAAGTTGCAGAAGAATCAAAATTTTTACTATTGAGTGCAAGTATAATGTTAAGGCTACTGTAAATGCACAAGTGGACAGTATTTTGCATTGAAGGATATGAAGCCATAAATTAAGATGTACATACGATAAAGCGATGAACAAGTGTCCTATTCTCCTGCCCAATTCGGTGTACCCGGCTGATTGCCTGTGCTTCTGCAGCTGGATTAAGTAGTGGCTCTACAAGAACAACATGTTGTGCTTCCAAGAGATTAAGACCATTCGCTCCATGTTGGATCAAGAGTAATAACACTTGGATAGACTTTAGCTCTGGTTGCTGGACATGTCTCTTGGAAGTTCCTTCTACAGAGCTTTTCTGTCCCCTAAATTTGGTGATGGCAACTTGTGACTTTCTGTATTGCAAAGCCATAACCATAAACAACATTAAGTACATACATAGTTAAAGCACATAAAATAGCTTAATCAATATCAAGTAACTTATGCAATAACGGTTTTTTCCTTCATCTTTTTGATATCACATGTTAAAACTTTTCAAATGATCAGCATCTACCATGTAAATCTAACAAACTCTTCAGTTTTACTACAGTGTGCCAAAAAGACACATAGTTCAGGAGTAAACAATAACATATTAGGTTCTTAGGGTTCTTTATGTTCAATTGTTCAATATTTCATCCATCTAAATCTTACGAATCAATGAAATATTCTTCTAATAACTTCTTTGCTGCATTTGTAAGCTGTCTAAGGAATAGGTTGACATTCCCAGTTTCTGACAAATCTCTGAATGCTTTACTTACTCAATCACTTAAATTACCTGATTTATTATGAAGACTCCACTCAATTGTGGCTATTAACAGAATGTTTTGCCCAGCTAAGTCCACAGTACTAGCACAAGCATTAGATCATATAAGCTAAAACATCATCTTACCTGCCTCCTTTCATCCTGATACAAGTAATATTGTTGGTGGTGAAGGCATGTTCTAACACATCAAGGACATCATTCCAACTTGAGAAAACAAGGACTTTTGCTTTTGGATCTGTAGACTTTATCCACAAAATTCTTCTGGTAACTGCTTCAATCTTTCATAATACCACAAAAAAGTCAGCAACCTTCCAAAGGCAGATGACAGGAGAAAAAAAAGACAAAGTGAAATATTCTTCTCCAATATATGTAGATTACTTAATATGTATCAGGTCATTAGATTCTAGAAGTCCAAGTTCAGATAAGCAAGATGAAAAAACGAAAACATACACAATATCAAATACACATGTGATAGGTAAGCAAATACGTGCACATACAGACATTGTCGCAGACAACTAGCATTTCTTGAAACAATTAAGGACCTGATGCAGTCAAGAAAGAGCATTTTTAACCAAATTGGACTTTTTGCAATCAAATTGGGGCATTTGATTCTTATTTATGTATTTTTGTTGCTGGTATGCTGCTGGAGCTGGGTGTCTATGAGCAGTAGTACTAAATCATGAGTCATATACTGGTTTAAGTAACGAAAAAGTCTTTATATTAGTTTAAAGATTAGATACTAGTCCTTTTCTAAAATAAATAAACGAATGAACAAGGTTTTTGGCAAGCTTTAGAAGCTCCCTTGAGGGTGTAACTGCCTACAAATAATTTTGTAGAATTATATGAAAATAGTGAGTTTAAAAATAATCTGCCAACATTATGATATTAAAATAATTTATAGATATTATGCTGAAAACTCAAATGGGCTATAAATGGGTTTTAAAGTTTCATTTTTCTACTGATATATGTTCCACATAAGTGCATTAAAACTTATTCGATGTAAACTGTAGAAAGTTTAATTCTGTTAAGAGCTACATGATTGCTTAAGATATTCATCAGTTGAGATTAAGAAGGAAGCTTACCTTTGTTCCATATGATCCTTGAACAGTCAAAGATTCTTCGCATATTTCATGACCTTGAACTCCATTCAGCATAGCAGAATCAGAAGATTTATTTTGTCTGTCATCAGCAAAAGCGATATTACCAATATCTGTATGCTGTCTACATGTTGGGCACATTACCCATTTATTTTGAACCTTATTATCATGTAGTCTCTGCTCAGTCATTGCAAATAAACCTGCAAAAAGGTAATATTAATGAAGCTGACATGTATAAAAACCAGAGAAGTTATCCAGTAAGAAAGATTCCATCCTTCAGTATGTTGAGAAACTCAGTAGGTTTAAGGAATCTCACACCAACAAAGAAAGAATGGGCAGCGCAGAGTAATAGAACAGAACATTAGAGATACTTGAATTGAACGTTGCATGGTTCAATCATTATGGCCTTTGTTAAACTGAAGGAAGATATTTACAATATTTAAGTTGCTTAGTAGCCTAGCATTATCAATTGCCCAATTGGGCAAAACTTTGGAGACATTTTTGCATCATGATTAGGTGTCGTGTGGTCTCACATCTATTCAAGTTTCAAATCCCCGAGCTGAGTTTCAACAACCAATATGCTTCCATGCATATGGCTCCTAAGGCAGCTCAATAATCATAATATGTAGATGGTGGTGAAAACTTACATTTACAACATGTAAAATGCCCGCATTGAAAAACCATCTTTTGATTACTCAGTTTATCTTGACATATTGGGCATGTTTCCTCATCAACTTTGGATTGACATTCACTTCTTTGTTCCTTCGAATTTGAAATGGTAATCGTCTCTTCAGTCAATGTGGAATTATTTGAACTTTCTTCAAGGGGCGATTTATGTTTAGATTTTGCCAAACCCTGAAAGTATGCAAATAAAGCATATTATATATGCATGTCCTGCTAGTATTTTGCTATTATAAAAAACTGTATACAAAGGTATCAAAAAATATTTAAGATCAGCTGACAGATACATTTTGACCACCTATGCACACTTATGTTCTAGTAGGGGGGGGGCAGGTGCTTTAAAAAAAAAAAAAAAAAAAAAAAAAAGCATTGAGATTGAGAAGGTTTCTTTATAAAAATTTCAGGCATTAAAGAATCTAGCAATCAAAATAATTGTCAGACTAAAATGTCGTGTGGTCAATGTATCTGTGGTTCACAATTTGGTTATTTGACTTATTTCAATTCTAACACAGTGATAGAGTTTGATCTTAGATATGGAGAATAAAAAAAAAACTCTGCCCTACCTTCAAATAACGAAGCTTTCCTTTAATACGTGACAAGAAGGTCATAGCCATAAACTTTTCACTGGAGTTGGTCACGCTAGCTGCTGCTAGTTCATCTGGACTTAAAGCATCAATAGAATTATCATCCTCGTTTTCTTTTAGGTGCAATCGTGTTGTTGCCATCCTAATTTCATCATGAGAACGGAGAACTTGAGCTTGAGCAATTGCCAATGACCTCGCATGGGCATACTCCTTTCGCATTCCCTTTAATTTTAAATGAAAATCAAATAGAGAAATGAGATCAGAATTTCCAACAAATCCAAAATGCTTGCATGCAATGGTATCAACCGAAAGCCCTTAAAACAAGAGTACAAAAATATCATGCATAGTAAGGAACAAGATTAGGTATAACCTCAATCTCTGTAACTAATTCAATGGTAGAGCAATGCTCAATGGCAGTTTAGTAGTTACTAAAAGTAGAGAATGATTGACCAGACTGTACCTCCAAACTGTGTAGCTGCTTAGTTGCTGCAGATATAATATCCCTCCCCAAATGAGTCTTGCAATAATTCTTTAAAACTCCTAGAACAACCTCCAATTCAGATGGAGATTTTGAAACCTATTGACTCAATAACATTAGCAGGTGAATACAAAATTATATTCTATGAATTGAAATATCATTTTATTTTGCAGTCAAGAAATTGCCAATAAGTACCCATGGTAATTCCATGGATCATACCAAGATTCCATTAACTGTGATGTGATTTAGAAGCTTTATCAACAGTAACACCTATGAGTAGGTAATGCTTATAGATTCTAACTTAAAATCAGGAAGAGATATTTGAATTTGGAAAATGAAATTTTCAAGTCTAACAAACAATGAAAACTGATCAATTATTTTAAAGCAGAATAAAAAAAAAAAAATAAAAAAAAAAAAAAAAACAACATACAGAAGTTTCCATACAGCTGATAATCAAAGAGCGACATGGACAGAAAATTAAAATTTTGAATCTTCAACAAGTTCTAGCTCAGATATCTACAAATCAAGATGAAAACCATCAAATGTGAATAATGAAAGAGAGATTAATGAAGATCATAGTAGACAGAATAGCAACATAATGATAGAGAATCTGGAAAGAGACATCATGCAGTAATTGCAACAATACAATCTACGGTCATCAATGATGCAAAGTTTTATGTTCCAATAAATCACCTTCCACTTTAATTCATTCCAGCAGGATAAATTCTTTAACTAAGGATCTCTGGATCCAGAAAAGCCTTAGCCTTACATAGCCCACAAGACAAGTGGCAAGTTACTAGAGAAGAAAGGAAAGGTTTCTTTTCTTTGCCTTGCATGACTTTCTTATTCTAATTGGAAGTACCAGGCTGTTCCACTACTGTACTTATCAAAGTGATCTTTCCTCTAGATAAATAAGCAGCCAGTTTTATTTATTTAACCTTCAGTTGATATCAATGACAAAAAAAAAACTCCTTGAAAGGCTTAAATCAAAAAGAGATTCTGAATTTTGTCAAACTATAAACTAAGCATAGGTAAACTGAGAAAATCACAACAATAAACAAAAGCAGGAGAGATAGAAGTAACTGACCACTACTGTTTCTCTGACATCTCTCTTTTTTATTTCTTCATTATCAACTGTTGATGAAGTTGAATTTTTATTTGGCTGCGATAAATACCAATAAAAACGATTGAGTGAGGAATTCTTCTTCTGCAAATTTACTGCCTCTTCCGCAGATGCAAACATCTCTCCATGTGATTTCTTGAGACGAAACAACCTTGCCTCATAATCCTGGGAAAAAAGGTATACTATGACTAATTGTGTATAAAAACATAAAAGTTAACAGAAAAGATTGATGCAAACCTGAAATATTTCATCTAGTTCACAATGAAGACATGTTGGACCATCCCCTACACCATAGCAAATTCGGCAATATCTCATACGATCCATGTCCTCTTCTTTTGGTTTCTCCATTGTTTGATCAATTTCTAAGAGTTGATCAAGTAACTTTTTCCTAGAGGCTTGCAGTAGATCCAAACCAGACTGAATATGATACTTTAGACCACTTATGGTTCGGAAACTAGATTGAAAACATAAATTAATTACTAATCATGAAAAATGATATTGAACAATAATTATGTTTAAAATGTATTGAACATAAAAAAGAGATTCCGGGTAAGTGAAGAATTTTCACATTTTCCATTCAGAGAAAACTACCTTAATTAACATTCAATCACTGCAGTGTCTACCAATTAAAGTCACGGAAGGAGTAAATAATTCTTATGCAACTGTTTTCAACTTTAACTAAAAGACATGTATATAATGCCTATAAAATAATTCAATCTGACATATTACGCTTACGTAACACTATGAAACCCTTGCCCTCTAGCCATGCTGCCCAACTTACTGACATACAGATTCCTTCACTTTAAAGCAATTAGCAGATGAGCATGTTCCCTCAGTAAGAATATGAGCAGAAATCTTGTGATGGAATAAATGTACAACTAAATATATTACAATTTCAGGTTTAAATTGAAGTAAAACAATAAAATGGTTGTATGCATGCCCCACACAAGAGACATGATGTTACAACCTAAGAATATCACTAACCGATATGCAATTCTCGATGACCTTGATTTGTTTAGAGATCCTGCAACAGCCTCTTCAATCTTTCTAATCAACTCTGATGAAAAGTCTTTGTTCTCCTCAGCATGATGAAGCACTTCAAACCACCAACCATCATGTTGCTCTTTTATATCGTCCAATGCATTGCAAACCTTTTAAAAAAAAAAAAAAAGGTGTTGAATACCATCATAGGAAGTGATACAAACAATATTTCAATGTCTATGTATATGTATATGCATGTATGTATGAATAACCTGATTGAGACTAAAGAAAACAATCATACATTAAAAAAAGGTGGTTCATGAAAATGCTACATGTCCAATGCATAAAAGCTGGAACAGGACAACCAAAATGTACCTGCATGTATGATTTTCTAAATTCTTGCTGAGCAACTGATAACTTTGAACTAAATACAGTTAAGTACTTCTGCTTCAAGTTCTCACAAGCTGTTCTCAAAGAGGCATCATCGAAGGATTTGGATGACAAATGGCACTCATTACCAGAATCTCTTTTACAAATGAAGCCATTTTCTGACAAGTCAGGTGTATGATCTGCTGGATTCCCTGCATCATTAAAATCTGTATTCTCTGACTTGCTTAATTTTCGCCTTTTTGCAGCATTTTCATCGCATGTTTCAATACTGTGTACCTTGGAAGCCTTTTCAGAACTTTCAGCAAACTGCTGTCCCTCAATTGGAGATTGTTTTGAGCAGTTTGTAACCATTGGAAGAATCTCTGCAAGATTGTGATGAAGGTGAATATTCAATAAAGGGTCCAGTCGGAAATCTTCAGAGTGCTCTTCAACAACAACCATTGCTTCCTTGTACAAAGATACAGCTTGGAAAATATTTCTCTCAATCATTGCTATCCCAGCAAGCCCATTTAAAGCCATAACCAACTTCCTGAGTGCTTCCTCCCCTTCGGTCTTGGTCTTACCAATAAGAACCTACAAAATAGCCCCCTTTATAAATTGAGATCCAATAGCTAAAGTTCTTGAAGAAAATTTTACCATATAATTCCTCAGGTAACCCACCATCAGTATTTCATCCATGGTTAAAGGGGATTGTTGCAAAGTTCGCAACCCAGAGCTTCCCACTTGAGGGTGGCAGCAGGCCTGGCGAAGCTTCAAGAGTGAGTTCAGCAGCTTTGCGGCCTCTGCATGGGTGATGATAGGATTGGAAGAATCATCAGAGGATGAACAACCTGGCAGAAAAGAGCATGAAAAGAATCATCAGACTTAAAAACCACTCTTCAAAATGAAAAACTGATATTTTGCTTAAAATGCATCTGTAGATTGCAAGACATCCATTAACAACCTGGGGCATTTCTCTTTAGAATATCATTTTTCAAACTTTGAATAACTTCACAGGCATAACCCACACAAGTCTCATGTTGGCTCTGATAAAAGTGTTTTTCAATTGGTGAAAAGGTAAGCCAAGAAACGCACTCCTCTTGAGGAGGAAGCTGCAGCTCATCTGCTACCTGCAGTTTTGAAGAACGCCACATGATTTCCTTAAAGAATTCATGAGCAAATTCCATAGCTCCCACATCTCCATTCTGCAAAGCAAGGAGCAAGTCTAAGAACCAGCAATATACAAATAGTTGAATGGCAGAGGGTGCTAACATGGATGTTGGTCAATCAAAGAAATGCAAAATAAGGAAGCATGCAATTGTGATTATTAACAGTTCAGTATTGACATCACAAATAAAAGTGTGTGTCCATTAATGCACACCCAAGTTAGTCTACCAGTTATGCGCTGAAAACATACAAAAAAGGTGCAAATAGAACTTTGATCACCTCACATAAAAATTTATAAAATAAAAGACACCATATCAAGGTTATAAAAAAAGCAAATTTTTCTTAATTGTAGCTTTGGCAGCTGAAAAGTCACCTTGCAAATACCTCTTCAGTGCAAAAACAATAATATAAATAACTTCATACCTCATAAGGATCTCGTATAACTTCAATCCACCATCTAGGAATATCAAATGGATTTGATTTAAGAAATCTTAAAAGTCCGTACAAGTCATCAAGTTTCCGTTGTATAGGAGTCCCTGTAATACACCACCGATGCTTAGTATGTAAGCGTAGAGCCATTTCTGTGGCAGCAGCAGCATTACTCTCAACCACTTGAGCCTCATCCAAACAAATCCTCCACCAAAATATTCTGGTGAGAAGAGTTGGAATAACAGGGTACCTGACAAATGATGGCAGTCATAAAAATTCAACATTCAATTTAAAGAGATCTTCTTATAAAACCAAGCATGTTTTCAAGACAAAAAATTGACCAAACTAATGACAATTTGATTACAGACTTCATTTGTAACAGATGATTGTTTCTTTATAGTGTTACAAACAAACATAGTAATCAAGCATCAACCATGATTTCTAATCATGCCACAAGGACCGAAGTGACAACAATGAACTAAAAACTTAACTATAAACACTTTTGTGAAAGATTACTTTTTGAAGTAAATTTAACTGCACATATTCACGCACACACAAACATATACAAGTATTTGGAATCACTAAGATAGATCTGTGCCTCTATATAAAAAAATAAATAAAAAAAAGGAATAATGGAATCCTATCCTAAATTTGACCTGGTACAACCTGAATTCTTGAGTTTGGACCAAATTGATACTGTCATACCTGGACAGCAGGACACAAATTATAATTCTTAGGTCTTGGATTATATACTAAACCCAGATCAAATCTAAGCACCATTTGTAAGTCTTGAATACCATCATAGGAAGTGATACAAACAATATTTCAATGTCTATGTATATGTATATGCATGTATGTATGAATAACCTGATTGAGACTAAAGAAAACAATCATACATTAAAAAAAGGTGGTTCATGAAAATGCTACATGTCCAATGCATAAAAGCTGGAACAGGACAACCAAAATGTACCTGCATGTATGATTTTCTAAATTCTTGCTGAGCAACTGATAACTTTGAACTAAATACAGTTAAGTACTTCTGCTTCAAGTTCTCACAAGCTGTTCTCAAAGAAGCATCATCGAAGGATTTGGATGACAAATGGCACTCATTACCAGAATCTCTTGTACAAATGAAGCCATTTTCTGACAAGTCAGGTGTATGATCTTCTGGATTCCCTGCATCATTAAAATCTGTATTCTCTGACTCATTTAATTTTCGCCTTTTTGCAGCATTTTCATCGCATGTTTCAATACTGTGTACCTTGGAAGCCTTTTCAGAACTTTCAGCAAACTGCTGTCCCTCAATTGGAGATTGTTTTGAGCAGTTTGTAACCATTGGAAGAATCTCTGCAAGATTGTGATGAAGGTGAATATTCAATAAAGGGTCCAGTCGGAAATCTTCAGAGTGCTCTTCAACAACAACCATTGCTTCCTTGTACAAAGATACAGCTTGGAAAATATTTCTCTCAATCATTGCTATCCCAGCAAGCCCATTTAAAGCCATAACCAACTTCCTGAGTGCTTCCTCCCCTTCGGTCTTGGTCTTACCAATAAGAACCTACAAAATAGCCCCCTTTATAAATTGAGATCCAATAGCTAAAGTTCTTGAAGAAAATTTTACCATATAATTCCTCAGGTAACCCACCATCAGTATTTCATCCATGGTTAAAGGGGATTGTTGCAAAGTTCGCAACCCAGAGCTTCCCACTTGAGGGTGGCAGCAGGCCTGGCGAAGCTTCAAGAGTGAGTTCAGCAGCTTTGCGGCCTCTGCATGGGTGATGATAGGATTGGAAGAATCATCAGAGGATGAACAACCTGGCAGAAAAGAGCATGAAAAGAATCATCAGACTTAAAAAGCACTCTTCAAAATGAAAAACTGATATTTTGCTTAAAATGCATCTAATGATTGCAAGACATCCATTAACAACCTGGGGCATTTCTCTTTAGAATATCATTTTTCAAACTTTGAATAACTTCACAGGCATAATCCACACAAGTCTCATGTTGGCTCTGATAAAAGTGTTTTTCAATTGGTGAAAAGGTAAGCCAAGAAACGCACTCCTCTTGAGGAGGAAGCTGCAGCTCATCTGCTACATGCAGTTTTGAAGAACGCCACATGATTTCCTTAAAGAATTCATGAGCAAATTCCATAGCTCCCACATCTCCATTCTGCAAAGCAAGGAGCAAGTCTAAGAACCAGCAATATACAAATAGTTGAATGGCAGAGGGTGCTAACATGGATGTTGGTCAATCAAAGAAATGCAAAATAAGGAAGCATGCAATTGTGATTATTAACAGTTCAGTATTGACATCACAAATAAAAGTGTGTGTCCATTAATGCACACCCAAGTTAGTCTACCAGTTATGCGCTGAAAACATACAAAAAAGGTGCAAATAGAACTTTGATCACCTCACATAAAAATTTATAAAATAAAAGACACCATATCAAGGTTATAAAAAAAGCAAATTTTTCTTAATTGTAGCTTTGGCAGCTGAAAAGTCACCTTGCAAATACCTCTTCAGTGCAAAAACAATAATATAAATAACTTCATACCTCATAAGGATCTCGTATAACTTCAATCCACCATCTAGGAATATCAAATGGATTTGATTTAAGAAATCTTAAAAGTCCGTACAAGTCATCAAGTTTCCGTTGTATAGGAGTCCCTGTAATACACCACCGATGCTTAGTATGTAAGCGTAGAGCCATTTCTGTGGCAGCAGCAGCATTACTCTCAACCACTTGAGCCTCATCCAAACAAATCCTCCACCAAAATATTCTGGTGAGAAGAGTTGGAATAACAGGGTACCTGACAAATGATGGCAGTCATAAAAATTCAACATTCAATTTAAAGAGATCTTCTTATAAAACCAAGCATGTTTTCAAGACAAAAAATTGACCAAACTAATGACAATTTGATTACAGACTTCATTTGTAACAGATGATTGTTTCTTTATAGTGTTACAAACAAACATAGTAATCAAGCATCAACCATGATTTCTAATCATGCCACAAGGACCGAAGTGACAACAATGAACTAAAAACTTAACTATAAACACTTTTGTGAAAGATTACTTTTTGAAGTAAATTTAACTGCACATATTCACGCACACACAAACATATACAAGTATTTGGAATCACTAAGATAGATCGGTGCCTCCATATAAAAAAATAAAAAAAAGAATAATTGAATCCTATCCTAAATTTGACCTGGTACAACTTGAATTCTTGAGTTTGGCCCAAATTGATACTGTCATACCTGGACAGCAGGACACAAATTATAATTCTTAGGTCTTGGATTATATACTAAACCCAGATCAAATCTAAGCACCATTATATTGTCGCTAGGCATTTCTAGCAGAAGAAAAATAGGGATTTCTAGCAAAACAAAATAGATGCAGAGTGACCCATAGAGAGCATGAATTAGCAGTATATTGGAGTTCTAAGTATGAGTGAGAGAGACATCAGAGTTGTTAATCTACTGTTTTCACTGACTGTTTTCTTGTTATCTCAATCTTGGATGTAGGCTAAAAGCCAAACAATAGATTGTTAGTAGTTATTACCCTTTCGAGTTGCAAAATATTAACCAGATTAGGGCAAAATTGCAACAAAATCCTTAGAAGCAATCTCACAGAAGCTACCAACTTATGTGCTAGAAAAAATCCAAAAACTCAAGTAACTCTTTCAAAATAAGATGCCAATTTTGAACAACTAAAATTCTAACTCTAACAAACATTACAAATCACAAGTTATGAAGAAACCTCTTTTGGAATCTCATCAAGCGCCGATCACCTTCATGTCTATCAGAGTCATGTGACAAGTCCTCTTTAAGCACATCATAAGTAGTTAACACGATGTCTGCACTGACAAGTTCACTAATATCCATCACTGATGTATCTGAAAGAGAAGAATTTCTTACGCCCTCATAGATACAAGTTTTCAGGGAACCTGGACGTGTATGACTAAATAAATAACAATTAACAAATCAGTCAGTAACAAAATTTATGCATCTGAGGAAAAATTATGCAGCAACATGTTTTGACAACCTATCACAAGAAAATGACAATATTATTAAACTGAATTAGCTTTCAACAGAAAAATAGTCTAAATAATTATAGAGTTTTAATTAAAAGGAAGTGCAATTAGTAATAAGCAATTATGTGACCTTGCACATGATTTCAATGCCGATAATAGCACTAGAGGTTACTTCAGCAAATAGAACTGGCTGTGATCCAAATTTTAGGTACTTCATTTTTGTAAGCTTAGCATTCCAACATTCATGAACTTACTCATAATCTTTTTCTTTTGTATCAAGTGAGCCAGTGCTTCTTCCTCTTTTAAGAGCCATCATGCAGCTTTCTCTTTCCCAATAAGGTCAGCTCAACAGTTCTAGATTTCATGAATAGCCAAGGCCCAAATCAACTTGATTTTGGCAGATTCGTCTGGTCATATAGTACTAGTTCAAGAATCAGTGCGGGTATTAATTGAGAGGCAAACCAGTCCAGTTCTGTTAAAACTGAAGTTAAGATCTACAGTCGAGTTGTAAAATGCTACAAGAATGACCTTTGCCAGGTGACATGTTTAGCCTAGAAATAGATAACACCTATCAGATTCCATCTCTTGGGACCACAAGCAAAAATGAAGTATGGACATTGTTGTAAAATATGACCATGCTTAATTAAGTGCTGACATTTTGGAGTATGACAAAATCAGGAGTGCCAACCTTAACTTTTTGCCATAAAAATTGTTTGGTTTGATTGCGCATCTATAGTACCATAATCTTAAGGATTCTAACATTTTTAAGTGGCTAGAGACAGTCAAAGTTAGAGTCATACCGTATTATTTCAGTATGCCATTGTGGCAGTATAGGAGCTGGACAGACAATCAGAGTGGCACCTGTAGCAACAGGAGAATGAGTAGCTTGTATCAGTTCTGAGCAAAATTGGCAAATGTGTTCTCCATCTCTCACAACTATCTTGGTCATATCTTTTTTTCTTGTGTGCTTCTGTAACTCAACTGCTGACCTCTTTTTCTTTCCCCTGGGTGAATAACCGACACAATCTGCATGTTGCCAAGCATCACAGATGTCACACTGTACCCATAAACCCTTATACCTGTGACTTTCACTCACAGCTCCACAGATGCACTCAACACGCTCTCTTTTCAGTCTCTGTAGCTTAACTTCCTGGTCCCCAACAACCTCGAATGAAGTATCAATCAACATACCATCATCAGATGCTGGCTTTTGATGAGCAAATACGCAGGCAAGCAGTTCCACAGTTTTCCCCAATCCCATCTCATCTGTTAAAGTCATAAAAGACAAGCAAGTAAAGCCACATTAGATATGTGCATACTTGTGTTAAATGATTAAAAGTTGTACGAAAGTACACAATAAAAAAATACTTCCATTTCTCAGTGGAGTTTAGCAATGATCTTTCACATCGAAATTACTCCATGAAAGGAAAAAGGAAAATTGCATATCCATATCCCATTCAGTTGTGGACACAAGTTCAGGCTAATGGGATATTGCAAATCTAGGCACTTGAAGCATTTTTTTTTCATCACATTTAGAGTTCAATAATTTCTAATCAGAAACATCAAAAAGAGGTTCAGAGTATTATTTACAAAAAAATCCGACATACATAAACAAAACTACAGAAGTGTGTTAAACTTACCGGCAAGAATACCACCAAAGACATATGACGAGTATTCCAAACGCAAAGAAACATTTCCACTGAGGACAACATTTAATAAGAGTAAGCATGGTGGAGGAGAGAAAACTAGAAGTCACCTAAAATAAAAAGCAACATGAGCAAAACTTAATTTTTTTGCCAGTACCTAAACCAAATTACCCTAAAGAAGAGATACCTGAATGGATTATAGAACATTTTTGAAGAAGTGTCAAGAAAATCCATGGGCATACAAAGGGGGTAAGAGAATCGACTTCTTTTCCTTTCACTCAAACTTTCTGAATCTCCTTTCTCTCTTTGTACCATCCAGTATGCTGCACGACGCTGATATGGTCTTAACAGAGGCAGCAAGTCGGGTAAATCATCTTCAAGCATTGGTTCTGCTCTGTAAGGGGTTGTACCACAATTTTAGGAGTTCAAAAGTTGATACCATTGTTATTATAAACAATATAAGCAATAAAAAAACACAGTAGCATACGGAATGCTGTGGCTCACTTTGATGGTTTAATGGCTTCATAAAACCCGGCGACATCAAACTTTGCAAGTTTTTTGGTTTCTGAAGAGCCACCTTCCCTCTTCGTCATCAATTCAACATCCATTTCTGTTGATTTACAGACTCCATACCTAGCTTCTGAAGTCATAACTTCTGGACGGAGCCAAGCCATGACATTCATCATACTCCTCTTCCACAATTTTTTACTATTTTCTAGAATAGATTCACAAGCATCAAAAGTGCTCTTAAGTATCTCCACTCTCACCCTAACAGATGACATGTCCTCCGAAAGTGTAACACTGGGGACTGGCCTTAATGTGAAAAGCTCCAAATTTGCCAGATGAACAAGACCCGTAACACCCTCATCCGGTCCATCAAAACTCCCAGACAAAATAACAGTATGCGTTTCCATATCCTTCTCTGTCATGCATTTTTCTACAAATTCCAAAGTTATACTGCTAGAAGACAATAATGGCCAATGACCTAGCTTAATACGACCAATAAACTCATTTACATTGCATACCCTAAACCTTAAGCTGTACTTAGATTCATAATAAAAATCCTCACTAATTCTAAAACCAGGAAACCCTTCTTTTAAATTCAAATCTTTTAAAACAAGTTCAGATATATCAAGGTGCTCATCTGAAACCCAAGAATTTTTATTAACCTCTACGAAAAGCGGTTTATCAGTATCATCAACCTCCCCTTTACCCGGCTGCTTGGTGTCATTTGCTTTCTGCTTATCCAATTGTGGTCCAGTAGTATCACTATTTTCTACGAAGATTCCACCTGATCGATGAGGACGAGACTGCTTTCTTCTACCCATCACTACAAAGCAAAAAAACACTAAATAAACTCCCATGTAACATTGCAAAGTTACTTGAATGGAAATATAATCATAAAAATAAACATAGGAGCTCAATTGCCGTGCCAATACAAAATGGAACGAGCAACTTCAGTTCTCAGATGGTATAAAAAGAAACCCACATAGAATTTCCTTCATTGCAATGATTCCAACAAGAAAAAAACAAGAATTGAACCTCAAATAAGCTAAAGCACATGAAACTCCAGCCAGAAACTTAACAATGAATACGAAAATACAAAGAAAAAACAAAATCCATTGTAGGACATTGAATCCAAAGTAAATGGAATAAGGAATGAGTTTAAAAGGAGAAAGTTTTCTGAGACTAACCAGTAAAAGGAGGAGGTTTGCTGAGGATAACACTAACCTGTAAATTTTGGAAGAATTGGTGTTTGCGTAAGGGAGAAAGAGAAGTTGGCCGGACGGAGAATGAAAACACGCGCGGGCTGTGCGAGTTTAACAAAATAAAAAATGGATAGATTTTGTTTCGTAACTAGTTAAGTTTAGAGTGAGGTTAAAATGACAGGTAAATTAATATAAACCGAGTTAAGAGAGTTGTTGATTGGGCTGTGATTTGATTTGTTGACAGCTGATGTGAACCAACGTGGAATGTAGTTATGTTTACCGCGAAATTACTTGTATGTCCACAGTTGACTTGTAATAGTACACCAGTGCCCTCTCTTAATTGAGTAATGCGAAATCCTCACGATCTTACTAACCATCTTATTAACCTTTATTAAAATTATATATGGTACCCGTACTATACTTATGGTATCCGTACTATACTTTATATTTACAAAGGTTAGTAAAATAGTTAGTAAGATTCGTAAGTACGCATAGTATTATTGCTCTTAATTTACCAAAGAAAAATGCTATCCTTACAACGACCCATATAAAGAGAGCTATAAAGTGACATCATCCAAAAGAAAAAAACAAAAAAAAACCGAAAGAGAGAAAGAGAGAGAAAGAGAAATCATAAAAATTAAGGATAGAGATTATCTTTGTAAAACTAGCATTGCTCATCTACCAAAACCCCAATTTTGCTATAATTTAGAGTATCCAGAAATCGAGTTTGAATAATATTAATCCAATTCAAATTTCTAATACAAATTTTAACAGGTTATTGTCTTGGTGGGAGATGGAGATGGTTCCTCTTCTTTCTCTTTCCCTCCTTCCAACTTCATCAATATTCTATCTGCATTTGGTTCCTCTGCTTTCTCTTTCTCTCCTTCTTTGTGATTCTGACTATTAGCGTTAGCTTTAGCTTTGGTGACGATATTTCTAAACTCTAAACCCTAAACCCTAAACCTTCCACTAAGCACTCATAAATATATTTACACGCATATATTACTTCAAATCCAACTACCATCTCTCATTTGTTTACCCTACTCTTTCACAAATTGTACTTTTTTTTTAATAAATAATCATTACTATAAATTTTAATTTATTTTGTAATAAATATAATTTATTATCATTTTAAAAACTAGTATAACAACACATTGCACAAAATAAAAAACCTTTAACTTAGAATCCCTATCTATTTCCTAAATTTTTACACCAAGTATCTCCTATACCAATACATACACATACATCGATGTCCCATCTTCATTCGAAACTCATCTTCCTAAAGTTTCTGTTGCTTCTTCTATTTGAGACAATGGAAATCCTCTGGTCCTGAAGCATGTTCAAGTTGGGGGCCAGCAAACGTGTATATCTATCAAAATACAGAAGCTGCTTCATCAGAAGTGCAAACTCCCTCGGAAACTTCAGTCCGTATGATTCACTCACCCTAATCTGTCATGTCATACAACCACAAAGGTTAATCACGTTCTTATTGGTGCTCCTTTATTTCACAAACCAGGATGAAACACTATTGTCTAAATTTCACAGCAGATTATATATTGTATTAGTGAAGTTTATGCATCCTGTATCAGCTTACCACATCAAGGAAAAGTGCATTCATCTGTCTCTCATCAACAATTAGATTCGCAGATACTGCAGTTGCATTTTTGTTTGTTCCCCTGGCTGTTGCAACTACTATTTCCGTATCCAGCTCCTGCATTCATTGAAAGGTGGACTGATTAGAATACAAGACAACAAGATCAAAACTTTGCAAGTATTATGGAAGTAAGTGATTGCCTGTATAGATGAAAATATCTTTTCCAAGTCTCTTGCAAAGGCCTTTGCATCAATATCCTTGCTTGTAGCTCCCATTTCAATCAGGGCCGAAGCCATTGACTCATATTCCTCTGTGGCAATTGATGCCAAAAACACATCCATGGCAGCCCATGTTTTTGGGGATATGCGTCCAACAATTCCTGTAAAATTAACGTTAATTTCATTTAACAACTTATGACAGGAATTCTAGTATCTTAAAATGAAAGCTGAGGTATAAGCTAACAGTGCATGAAGTTAGAAGAAAAAGATGAATACACACCAAAATCAAGGAAACCAATCCGACCATCACGTAACAGCCACAAATTGCCAGCATGCACATCTGCATGGAAGGTTTCACAGGCGAGCAGACTTCCAAACCTGCAGATAGATATCATATCAAAGATTGGAAGCATTTTATGTGACCTTGAAATATATCCCCTGATCACCATAAAAATTTACAAACATATGAATTTCAGATATCATACCACACGTTAAGGGCAGTTATAAGGCTCGACTCTGGATTAGAAACAAGTGAACCTATAGAGTCCAGGTCAGTCAGAGGAACTCCATATAGCCTCTCCATAGTTAGAACACGTTGGGTGCTGCAGTGGTGATACACATACGGAGCTGTAGCTTGCCTTGTGAGTCCCATGGCTTCTAGATATCTCCTAAAGGACTCAATGTTTGCAGCCTCCTTATAAAAGTCGACTTCTTCAAGCATTGACTCCCGTATGTCTTTCACAATAGCAACCTACTAAAGGATGTATAGATTAGAATAGCAACTAAAAATCAAGGAGATGCATGAATGAAGGAAAACCTATACAACAAGTTAACAATAGGAGCTGCCTATCTCATATAGTTGGATGAACATTTCTTTTTCTTTTTTTTTAACTAAAATTATTGAAAAAAAAAAAAATTGATGATACTTATAGACAACATCCGAATAATGAATTACATCGTAACAATGTTAAATAAATATCTGGTTTGTTAAAAGGATGATGCCATTAACAGTAAGCTAAACTCTAGAAATCCAGTTCACAATTTACCAGTGAAGCACGGCTGAATTCAGGATTCAAAAACTCCAATATGCGAGCAACAACGTAAACAAAGTTCAGATCTGCCACTAAAATATCCTCTATTCCAGGTTTCAAGACCTTTATAACTACATCCTCTTGGGAACCTTGGAGCCTTGCAGCATGAACCTGAGCCGAATATGAAACAGTTTCTAATCAGTGGGTATGAGATATTAACCACAATTAAAGAAAAGTGGGTGGACAGGGATATAAACCTGTGCTACAGAGGCTGAGGCAAGTGGCATTGGATCAATATATTCATAGACACTATCTATTGGCCTCCCTAATTCCTCACGCAAGGTCCTTTGTATCTCTTCGAAAGGAACAGCAGGAGCTCGGTCAAAACAGTTCTGAAATTCCTGGACATATTCCGGAGGAAACAAGGTGGGGGCAGAAGCTATAAACTAGCAAATACGAAAGCCAAGTTAAGATTAGTGACATACTACTCCACAAAGAAAACCATTCAAAAACTTATTTTTTTTTCTATAAATCACAATAAACCATTTAAATCCATGAAATGTGTGAATCCGTTATGTTATCTATGAAGTGGCAATTCATATGAAATACATCTTTGACAACATAGTACAAAAATGTAATACTTGAGCCTATACTGGGTATCAACAAACAAAAGGAAATCTGAGAAGAGAAACATAGACTCACCTGACCTAACTTAATATAGGTTGCTCCCATGCGCTCAAACAATCTCCTCAAATATAGAGGTGAAAGTAATCCAAGCTGCAATTGAGTTGGTAATCCAGTGGAGGAACTTGTTGACTGCAATTTAGATTACAAAACTCAAATGGATAAATTTAATTTCATCCTTAAACAATATCCAGGGACGCCAATAAATCAGAATTAAAAGTCAAAATTTCAGCAGAGACCAAAAAAAAAAAAAAAAAAAAAAAACCTTAGATGCATCAGCTAGCCACTCGCCACCAACCCCAACAAATGCTTGGATACCTTGAGCTAGTCTTAAAGCTCCACGTGGGCCTGTGTTTATAGATGTCTGGACAATGTCTTCCACCAATTTGGGCAAGTTCTCAATACTATCTGTACTTGACAAAAAAAAAAAAAAAAAGTTAATCTTGGATCACTGAGAGCTCAAGTTGAATAATTTGACCCAAAATTAATAAAGTGGAGTCAGAAAGGAGAAGAAATACTGCACTTTGAAGACGAGAAGAGAAAAGATCCTGTGTTTGGGAGTACTGAGCAAGTAAAATAAATCTCTTTGATCGATAGTTGAGCTTCCTCAAGCCACCTGACGTTGTGTTGGTAATTGCAGGCAACTGTGGCCGCACAAAGGGTCCGAATTTAATTGCTGAAATCGCCATTTTTTCTTTTTCTACGTTTCCACAACAGCAGCAGCTGAGACTATATATAATGGAGATTCTAAAAATAAGCGTGAAAGGGAGGAGGCCACGTGGCAACCCATTTAGGTACCCACTTCAGTTAAGAGAAACTTATCATGCTCCGAGTGATGTTTTGTCAAACGTTTGGACTGCTATAACATTTGTGTAAAGTTACTAATGAATAATAATATATATAATCCATCAAATGATTAGAATAAAATGGATAAACAGTGTCTCAGATTCGACTTGAGAATAATATGGATAAACACTGTCTCCTTATCTGTGGGAGGCCGTGATAAGCGGAATACTGTGACAGTGGGATGCATACCAAGGGATAAGTGCAATGGGGAGGCTAATGACCCAACGAAATCTACAACTTTGATAAAACGGTAACTACACTATTTGAGTATTGATTATACATGATAAAATAATCAACTGTCTGTACATTCCAAAAATAGGAATCGTGTCCATTAAATTTCTATAATACAAAAATCTTCATTTTCTACTTTTAATACAAATTGTGGAATTTTGAGATTCGTCATATGCAATTGCAACCTGTAAAAATAATGAAGAAAAATCGAAAAGAATCTATTTTGGATTCTCAAAAGCTAAAACTTCCATCAGCTTCAATTGCTTGCAGCTCCAGGTTGAGTAGAGAATCTTGTTCATCACTCATACAATTGAACATTAATATGTGCAATTATTCTGAGAAACCCGTGTCTATTCCCCGACCAATGGTTTACATATAGTATGAGCTTGTGCCGGAGCCAGATGGGACAGACCCTCTAATCACCTGGCTTGGTGAAGAATAACCCATGAGCCGATGAAGAGGAGAACCTGTTCTTGCTGGCAGCTCTTCAATTTCTGAGGAATTTTTCCCTGATATGGACTTACTGGAGGAAGGACGAGATGATTTGTATGTTACCACAGGATTCTTATACTTGTTTCGAGACTGTTTCAGAACAAGCTGCTTTCTCTCCTCCATTGACTCAGAAAAACCACCTGGTATATCTCTGGCATCTACACTGCTCTGGAGGCTGTGAGATGGTGTGGGGAATACAGGATCTCCATCTGTGGAGAAACTTTTACAATATGAAAGTCCGTAGTCATCTGAACATGACACTGGATCCGCAGGTGGAAAATCATAGCCATAAGAAGATACAGCCAAATTTCTTCTATTAATAGCTTCACAATAACCATCAATCTCACTTGGTGGGGGTGCTTCAGCATTAGGTGTATAGCGAGCTATGTGAGTCCTATTTTCAAGGGAAAACTTTAATACCTCAGAACAAGCACCACACCTCAGCAGATGGAACTTCCTTTTGAACAGGAGAAAATCTGCAGGTAGCTGCAGTGGTTTCGAACAAGCATAACAAATTAAGAAAGGAGCACCACCAACTGTGGGTCGGAGATGTCGCCTAACTGGGTGATGTTTCTCTCTCATAAACTTCTTCATATGATGCTCTTCATGCCTCTGGTCATCAGACTTTGTTTCACGGCCCCATTTGGGGAACTCAGAGTCCGTAAACTGTTGGGGGCTCGACGGAGCAGACCTGTAGGAACTATAATAACTGTGGCCAGGGTGGAACCAATGAACTCCTTTGTTATGAGAAAGGATGGGTGGAGCTAGTGGTGCTGAGCACTGCCAGTCCTGGGGACAGCAATGCATACAGGAACAGCTATCAATATGGTGTCTATTTATTGTAGCCTCCCCTGAGAAAGGTATCCGCGAGACGTTATACGGATTGGGCCAGTTGCTTCCCTGCCTGAATCTTTCAGGATAACTATGATAGTTTAATTCCTGAGAAATTTCCTCAGGCATCTCGCTACTATAGTAGGCAGGAATATATTTCTCCTTCATTGAAACTCCAGAGGAAACCCTTTGATTTGGCTTTTCATTCACATAGCATCTTCTGTTAAGTTGATCCTGAAGTTCGTAAACCATTCTCAGCAGTTTGATCTTGTCCTGTTCACTTGAACGGAGATGCATTTCATCATACAATTGACTGGAAGAGCCACCACTTTCATAGCCAGCTGGATAATCCCTCTGATAGTAAGGCACTGAAGACAGCAACTCATCTCTCTCTAATCTGATCCTGTTTCTAACAGCATGGCCATGTGTTCTGGATTCCAGCAACTCATCTCGATCCCACTTCCTGCTGTCCAAGGGGTAGCGCCTCTTATTTGATATATCTGGTGAGAAATTCCTAGCTTGATGTTGCAGTACAGAACCGCTATTTGTCAGGAAATTGTCTGTTCTAGACCTTTCTTCATAGGCACTCGAGTTTGGAACCTTGAAAGCATTTTTATATGGATCTATTGGCTGGTTGGGAACTTGATCATCAATTCCATCATAAGAAGAGACACTGCCATCATAAGCATGGGAGCTTCTGTTTGTTGGGGATTTGGACATACATTCAAGGTTACCACTGAGCTCAGAACTGAAATTTGTAGTTTCAAAAGGAGCATTAGACCTCAGATGGTGACAACAATCATTATCACTCATCTGAAGTTGCTCCTGATGTTCATCAGGAGAAGATATAAAAATGTCCGATGAAATGCTTTCCCCTGCTGTTCTAAAAGAAGTAACAGTTGAACAGATATTCATTCTCACCACTGTGTTGTCAGTATTCAATCTTCTGAAAGTTGAGCCACTCTCATTGTCAATGTCAACTCCTGTCTTTTCCTCCACCGGAAGTGAGCTACCATTATTTACCTCTACTTCTGAATTTGGTTCAGTTAATGGTGATAACTCTTGATTCTCATGAAAAGCATGCCCAGTTGATGAACAAAATACATTGGAAACTCCAGGCTTTTCAATATTGCAATCCTGAGATTCAAGATGATCACTCTCATTAATTCGATCTTCATCCAATGAGTTTACACCTACAAACTTCTCAATATTGCATTCTGTCGATATATTTTGATCCCTCCCATTGTTTTGGTTCAAAGAACTTTCTCCTGAGGACAAAAGAATTTCTTTCTGACAAGAGCTGATAGATTCAGAACTGTCATGTTGGAACTCATTTGTCTTAGCAGCATCTATTCCATTTGAACCTGAGCTTGTGCTTTCGGCATCATTCTTTCGATGTTTTACTGCAGGCATGAAAGAATTGATAGTTAATCAACAAGCTAAGTATAGCAAGATAGGTAGCTAATATCCATAAAAGAAAGATAGTAGAGGAAGTCATGGCATTGAATTCACATCTAGCAAGGATGGTCAATCAAAAGAAAAGGCAACAGAGAGGGATCTGCATAATGGAGAGTAAAGCACTACAAAAATTGAATTAATCAAAGGAGAGTAGTTACACCTCTGAAATTCATTTCATTTGGAGACTAATTGGAAAGTTTTCATAAGGAATTGATAAAATGGATAAATTGTATTCATCCTATGCACACTCCTCTGACAGTTAGTTTGAAGTTATTACCTTGTAGAATAGCGTCACATCCACCGCACTTGTATACAGGAACACCTGCAGGCTCTGGAAGCACCTGCCGACATTTAGGACACTTAACGAATCGAAGTTTGTGAGTGTTTGATTCAGTTTCCATTTTCCTCTAGATATGCTGATGTAGGGAAGCTGAGACCGGGCTTCCACCATCAAATTTGACAAATTGAATAAAAGAACCCAGCTAAGACTAAAGGATTCCAGCTACCTGCAAGCAGATAAAAAATCACTTTAATAAAAAAAATAGAAAAATAAGATGAGTTTCAAGGACAAGAAAAGTAAATTAATTTCATAAAATTTGAAATAATGACCAACAAAATAAATGGTGGAAACTATCTGATAACAATAGAAATCAAAGCTTAAAGGTAGTGGAGGCATCACCATGGACAGATCTAGAGAAAAGTATCGGAATTCAGGAATTGATGAAACATAAAAAATATGTAATTCAAGAATTATCAAGGTACAAGATAGGTAATTAATTAACAAGCAGAAGAAAATATGCAAAGAGGTTGCTCAAGTAAATGAAAGAAGCAGTTGACCTTGCGCGTGTGGATAGAAGACGGTAAGATTTTGTATAGAAGAAAATGAATGAAAGAAGTAGATCAGATGATGAATATTAAGAAGGAGATAGATAGGTGGAATTATGGAAAGAAAAGTAAAAGGTTGGAGAAGACGAATAACGAACCTTTTTCGTTTAAAGAAAAAGAAGAAAATCTTGAAACACTGAAACTTCAGAGAAATTGTTGTGTTGAGTAGAGTTAAAGTGGTGGTCCTTATTTGATTTCGTGTTTAAGAAGGCAGCCAGTCAAGTCAGTCCTTTCCCTTCACATCAAATACCAATACCAGACCTTGAACAAAAACAAATTCTCTTTGTTCGCATGTTATGTTAAAATGAGAGAGAGAGAAGAGAAGAGAAGAGATAAGCGTTGACGTCGGTGGTGGCCATGAGATTGTAATTAAGAAGCCTCACCAGTCACCTCTTCTCTCTCTCGTCCCTTTAATTTTACACCTGCTCCTCCTCCTCTAATAAATATATATATATAATATATAATAAAGATTTGACCGACAAAGTGTGAATATTATATAAACTTTTCCAAGGCATTTCTGTTTACTCAGTCAAATTATACGTTAATAATAATCCTACGATCTTAAAATTTAAATTAAAAAGACTCGTCTACATGGAAATTCTGTAGCAGAAGAAGAGGGAAGAAAAGTCAGTAGACAAAGTCTGAGCTGTAAATATGACAATGGGTACCACCTCTTGCTTTTGACGACCGGCGTGATTTCCCATCTATTTATATTACGCCACTTGCCATCATCCTCATGACGATTGCCTTCGCTGTCTACTACTCAAAACACCTTCCACTCGCTGTCTTACCCTTTAAGCTACTTTTTTATGTTTATACCAAGAAATTGATTGTCAATACTCTAAGCCAAACTTTTAAAGAAACATAATGAACAAGTCCAATGTAGGCGTGAGGACAGCTAATAATTATTTTATATATATATATATATATATATGTAAATGCATCTGCAAGTTTCTAAGGTCGCCGGAAGAGTTGAGTGGTTTCCCAGTTCTGTTCAAAAGTCAGAATTGACTGTCTTCTCTGGACTTCAAAACACAATGTCAACTCATTCAAACCCCCACTATTATAATCCCTTCAAAGAGGCAAGAAATTTGGGTCAAATAATCAATCACTACGCTTCACCTTTTTGTCATCAAACGCATTGTAATTTAATTTAAAAGACCTAGAAAATGAACAAAACCGTCTGCATTGCTCACAAATCAGTCTTCTCAAACTTACTAGACCAATACTGAGCTTAACTAAACTTATGCACCAATAACACTAGGTTGTGGATCATAATATCAAGCAGGGGACTAGTATGATATGGTTTTAAATTTGAATTATCACCCTTCTACATATGGCTTCTGCTAATTCACTGCCTACTTCTACAGAATATTTGAAAGCCTTCAACTAATGTCTCTAAAGATTGAAAAAATTGTGCAAGAATTGATGGAGGATTTGCAAATAATTCAAATGTCAGATGTCTTATCGCAGGGAAGCCTTTCAACCCTATTGATACAGTAACTCAGTGAAGAAGACTCATAAAATCTCTACCAAATCTTTCCACATTAAACAAGCTTTTACCATAAAAAAAAAATTGTGCTGTCATGATTTTATTTTACTCTTAGTTCAGGATGATGAAAGATTGCCAATTTCACAGCATTGATTCTGAAAAAGGTGAAGCCTGTGAGCAGAGGCCTACGGAAACCATTAAAGTTTACTTGTAATATGAGTGCAAATGTGGGTTTACCAGCGTGCTTGGTCCCTGTCAAAATCACTTCTTCTATGTGCATATAGAGTAGACTCTTTTACAGTGTGCAAGAGTCCACATTGTCTCAGCATTACCTTGTTAGTATATATGAGTGAATTGTGTGATGATGCAATGCATCCCCAGAAAAAGCAAGATCAAGTTTTTTATTTTTTTTTTTTGTGCTCAGGGAGTCGCAAATTAGAAGAGCACCATCCCTTTCCTGGTTAGCAACTTTCTTCATCCTCTCCAGATCCTCCCAGCTGTGTTATCTCAAGTCAAGTTTAGTTTTTCACCGATGGAACACATATCTCCATGTCCAAGCCTGCGATGACGAAGCCAACACAGTTCTTCAAAGTCGTCCGTCAAGAAGCTGGTAATTTCATCTTCAATTTTGTGTTTTTCTAGCAAAGTAGTTTTTTTTTGCTCAAATAGCTGTCATTTTACAGTATGCCACACCAATTATCATCTACATTCTTCTGCTCGAACCCTGAAAATACTTCAAACGTGGTTAGATCAAATGACAAAGCACAGGCGCATGGATGATCATGACCAAAAATAACACTTTATTACTTGCCATCTCAGACGTTGAATGGGATGTGATCTGATTTTCTTTTAGCTTGAAAACCTAAATTTCAAACTCAAATTTCTCATGTTAGCGCCATGCTGAGTTACCGACTAACCTGCTTCTCCATATTTTTGTTAATTTTCAAACTAGTCTTCATAAATTGAAATCTTTCATCCCTAAAGCGAAATTCTGTTTTGGGTGTTAAGATAGTTGTATGTTCCTGAAGTTTAGGAAAAATTATACCATTTGAATGTTTGTATAATCTTCTATGAAAATTATACAATTTTGTTTGATTTTGGTATGATCTATGTTGTGCAAAATCCTGTCTTGTTTTGATATGCAATTAATTTCTGCTGTAGAAAATCCCGGATGCTTTTGTGTCGAACACTTCAATAGATTTCCAATTGCTATTGTGATCCAAAATAAGATGGGAAAGTTATGGCCGATGAGTCTGGGATATATTCATAATGAAGTATTTTTTCAACATGGTTGGAAAAATTTTGTCAAAGATAATTGTGTGGAGTGAGGAGATTTTTTAGTTTTTAACTATGATGGTGATCATATATTTGACGTTAAGATTTTTGAGAGATCTGCGTGTGAGAAGATAGAATATGGTGATTCTGTGGGCATAGACAAAAAGATGAATATGGTGGGGGATGACATTGTTGGTCTTAATGTTTTTGATAGAGATGGGCACGGGTCGGGGCGGGGCCGCGAACCATTGTCTCCGACCCCGGCCCGAAAGCTCGAGGGGATTCCCCGGTCTTGGCCCGAAGCCTGTTTGGGGAATTCGGGGAATCCTCGAAAAAAACCTGTTCCCCGAATTCCCCATTTGGGTTTTTTTTTTTTTTAATCCTTAATTTTATACTTTTATTATTCTTTTCTCCCAATTATATATACCAACCAAAAAAGAAATTAAATATATAATAAACATATTAAACATAAAGGCCATATATTATCAAAAAAAATAAAAAAAAAATTAAATATATAATATACATATTAAATATAAAAACCATCATACTAAATTGATCATATTAAATATATAATGTATAATATATAATGTCAAATATATAACTTTTGTTTTATAGCATTATCATATTATATATATATTACAAATATTTATAATGATTTATTATATTTAATCTAGTTTTATTTATTACCTATTTGTATATAATCTCATAAAATACTTACACAATTATAATTTGTTATTATATAATGTATAATTGATTTTCAAATATTTATAATGTTTATATATATATAAAATATGCGGGCTGAAGACAGGGCGGGCTGGGGCAAAGCCAATCCCGGCCTTGAATTTTGGGGGCCAATATTGGGCCGATCCCAACCCACAACCCAAAATTTTTTGGGAAAATCCGCCCCGTTTGGGGTGGGTCAGGGCAGATCCCCATGGGGGCGGGCTTTGTGCCCATCCCTAGTTTCTGATGATCAAAGCGATAGTGTATCTGATGAAGAAGATAGTGATGACAATAAATATAATGCAAGAGGAAGAAGCAACAACAAACTTGATGAAAAATGTGGAAACAATGGTAAACATCCTATAATTCTTTTGTGCTCTTCATTAAAAGTGAATTTACATTAAGATGTAATCACACTTTTGTAAAATAAATGTAACCTAATGTTAATTTGTTTCAGGAGGATTTAAGAAAAGGGCTAATTATGTCTTGGCTGGTGTGGATGTGAGAAAGTATGTTCAAGAAAAAGACCCCTACTTCGTGGTGAAAATAGGGAAGCACAGAAGAAACATATTGGTAATGATCTCACCTCATATATAAAGTCTAAACCAGTGCTATGTTCTGTTGATTGGGTTCTCTTGTAGGATTTAATTTGATTTAGTACCTTTGTACAGTGACTGACCTCTCTCTGGTTGAATTGGCACCAACAATTACTTGCAGTGTCCATTTAGTTAAACCAATATGCTGATGTGGTAGTTGTTTCAATGGCTTAGGATAAATGGCAGTTGAATCCTCCTGTTACTTGAGTTGTCTGATGAAATTACCTTCAAAGACAAGCTGGAGCGGAAATGGCCTGGGACGCTTACGCATTGGAAGGATGGTCGAGCATTGATTAAGGGATGGAGAACGGTTTGCCGGTGGAATCACGTGGACAAAGAAGATTGTTGCATCTGCGAATTTCCGGAAACATCAGGTGAAAAAAAAGATGTCATATTGGTGCACGTTATAGGTAGGGTTGGTTCACCAAGCCAAATTAGAACCTAATCGGACTAAACCAGCAGAAGTTGGAGGCTAAACTATGTTTGGTACTTATCAAACCGTCTATGTTCCTAAAACAACAAGTATCAAACTGTGTCTATGTTCCTAGAACGAGTCAAATATACGCGTGAGGACAGCTAATAATTCCATTCCAATGCAATCCTCTTCTTTACATTACATTACAATTCTGTTCAAAAGTCATAATTGACTCTTCTCTGGACTTCAACACATCAACTCATTCAAACCCAAACTATTATAATCCCTTCAAATAGGGAAGAAATTTGTGTCAATAATCAATCACTACGCTTCACCTTTTGTCATCAAACACATTGTAAGTTAAAAGAGCTAGAAAATAAACAAAAACTTTCTACATTGTTTAAGGCTTTAAGCTCTAAATTGATAAACAACTAACACAAGACATAAAAATTCCCATAACAAGCAAATATCCACAACTAATTAACCATGTATAAAGTTTAAATAACATACAACATAAAATCAAATACACAAATCAGTCTTTTCAAACTTACTACAACAATACTGAGCTTAACTGAAATTATGCAGCAATAACTTGATGCCTCTTGTTCCCAATAAATGCTTGACGAAGTTCTTTATACCCACTCCTGTAATGCTCCAGCGAGAAACATAGCTGCCGTATTGCCTCTCTTTTCCCCTCTGCCCCATCTAAAATCACATTTCTCTGCTCGTCTACCTCTTTCTCCAGCTCCTTCACTCTCACTCTTAACTCATCAACTACCTTCTTTGTGGTTCCAGCTCCAGCCATCAGTTGTGCATGATCAATGCGTACCCTTTGCAAAAGCTCATCCTTTTGCCTAATGCAATCATCTCGACAACTCACCTCTGCCCTCAGTGTGTTTACTTTTGCATTAATCTCATCTTTTTCTGCCATAAGCATGTCATATTTCAATTTAAGACTGTCAAGGTTTTTGTTCAAAGCTTCAACATGGCTACCTCTCTCAGCAACTTCTACTTTCAATTTACTGATCTCACTTTGCATCCCACTTTGTTGGGCCTCATGCAAGCCTTTCATCTCCATCTTCTCATTTTCACATTGCTTTATCGTATCCTCCAAAACTTTGCCTTGCAACTCCAATTCTTTGAGCTTTGCATCTGCAAGGGTCTGTTTCTCTAACAAGCTAGCTACATTACACTGCAGCTGTGCTCTTTCCAAAGAGAAGTTTTCTTGCGCATCATTCAGTGCAACTTTCAAATCCCGGATCTCATCATCATAGACAGATAAATCACCTTCGTATTTTGCAATTGTCTCTTGCAACTTCAAAACCTGACTTCTCTCAGAATCAAGACTAACCTTCAGCATGACTACATCTTCTTGAGCCAACTTAAGCTGTCCTTTTAGTTTATAAGTATGCTCAGCAATTTCACTTGCATGTTCTTTTTTCAATCGTTCGATCTCCTCATCTGATTCCTGGAGCCTTTCTCTACTTACTTCAAGCTTTTGCATCAGCCTTTCAATCTTCAACTTAGAGTCCGAAACACAAGTTTCTAATTCAAACGTATAGTTTTCCAGTTCAAATACTTTTCCTCTCTCCGTCTCAAGATCAGCCTCCCTCATTTCGATATCTCTCTTCGCAGACTCAATCTGAGCATGAAGCTCATTCTTCAACTTGGCAACTTCTTCTTCTGACAACTGGAGTCTTAGGTTTGAAACTCTTAGCTTCTCCTCATACTTGATAACTCTTTTGAGTAACTCTTCGTAATTCCCATCTTCTCTCACCTCCAAGAAACTATCTGCATTGTCTTCCTCAGCCACCTGGAGCTTCTCTTTCATGCTTGGAAGCTCAGTTCCCAGCCCAATAATCTTTTCATGGAATCCCTTGCCTTCTGTTTTCCCAGGTGCAGCGGAGTAAAATTTGATGGAGTTAGAAGATTCTGACTCTGTGTCTGATGATGAGGAAGAAGATAATCCAGTTCCTTCCTTCATAGAAAAATCAGAGCTTCCGCCAGAGCTGGAAGATGCAGCTTGATGGCCAGAGTTATGTAAACCCAGCTTTTGATCAGGAGTTAGAAGTGGAGATCCTTGGCTAGAGCCAGATTTAGAATTGCCAGAACCCTGCAGTTGGAAATCCGATGGTATAGTCTTTTGTAATTCTCCTGTGAAATGATCATAGCGCTCTGCCAGAGACTGATACAAATGATAGAATTCCTGAATGTGAGTAGCCAACTCTGGCCTATGTGTTTCAGCCTTCTTCGACAAAGACTCGCCATCTTCCATCAGTTTCAGCATTTGCTTGACACTCTGGCCCATCTCTGCAGTTTTTTTTTTTTTTTAGGGATCATTTACATACCATTTAGTAATTTTAAATGAAATATTTGTTGCTACAAAGTGATATGGAGATTGAAAGTGAGTATGAGACAAAAACAATTCCCAACTCTGGGATGTTTAAAAACAAAGAATCGGAAATGTGCTTTAAATCAGCAAACAGAGTATTGAACAACAAATAGGAGTATGGATTTTGGTGTTTACCTTCAAGATGTTGTGCTAGTGGCTTAGAATTCATGGAACTAATGTGAGTATTCCACAAACTTGATTGTGATTCTTTGGATTGTTTCATCTTCATATTGGTTTCCATCTGATTTCAGTTACAACACATTAAAAAATAAGAACTTCTCCAAATAAAAAAATCAAAAGAAGCTAACTAATGTTCAAATTGATTAGAAATATTATTAAAGATATTGAAATGAAACCCAGGGGGAGAATGAAAACGCTGATCCAAAACAGGGCAATATTTATATCAGCAATTAAAAAGATAATCAAAGTTTAAAGGAATTGCAAATCAGCAACATAACTTAAAAACTCATAGATCTGTGTACTCTTAGAAACAAAGCAAGGAACAAAAATTCCAATATATTAATAGTAGTATTCAGTCAATTAATCTGATTGTCTTTCTCCATAACCATAAACCAAACAGTAAAGTAACATGATAAGAGTTGGTACAAGGCAAAGAAACAATAATTTACATAAATGGAAACAAGCTCATAATCAAGAACAAGTAAAACTGAAACAGATCGAAACAAGAGTTAAGAAACAAACCTTTAGTTAGGGCAAGGGAGATGAAGAAGAGAGAATTGATGAAGAAATGAAATGAGAAGAAGAGAAAAGAGTTGAGAGTTAAGGGACAATGAGAAAAAGCTGAGAACCACCTGTTTTTGGGGCAATATGTTCCCGCCCTCTCTTCTTTACCCAAATTACCCTCCATTAGATTATAAATTTCTGTGGTGATGGAGGGGTTTTATGGTAACAAAAGATTTTGGTGAAATCCGTGGGGCCGGACATGGCACATCAAATAATGCCAGCGCAACAAATTCAAGTCATAGCGGGAAATTTTGGATTTTGAAATTATTGATGGTGAGATGACGATTTTGTAAATATGGAAAAATAATGGAGGATATACGTGGCTTACCTCATGATTCACAACATATTTTCTATGTGGAAGGAAAAGTAATCCAGGATATGCAATCAAGCTAAAAGGCTCCCAAAAGGATTAAATAGTAGTTTGACAATTTCCTATGCGTAAATGACTTTTCTCACCCAGGGTTTGGCCTAATGACACTTTCTCACCCAAAAAGTTTCAAAATACATCTTTACTACCAATATTATAGTTCTGTTAGTAAATTTTGTTGTGAAGAGGGTAGAATAATCAAAAGTCTGTTATAAGTAAAGATAAAATGGTCAATTCACATTAATTTCGTCTTTCTCCTTATTTCTTTGGCCAATTGCTTTTCTTTTTTCTCCTTTTGTAGTCGTTGGCATTTTGCACTGGTCTTTATCAGTTTTCTCATCGAAACTGACAGATTTCATTACCCTTTTCGTGTTTTCATAATTTTCCAGTTAGAACGATCGTTTTCTCAGTCGTGTTTGGCCTTTTTTTTGTGATTCTCACGACTGCACAAACCTCCCCTTTCAGGCCCCATCTGGACTAAAACTAGCAACGTTGACCTGTCCCTTCACCACCATCAGATTCCCCGATCTCCATACTCTAAAACCCTCTTGACTATAGCCCGATTGCTCTCACCATTCGCTGGTGCTGTTTGGATAAAGGTTCCGATGTTTCCAGCCGAATTTTGGCCGATTTCGATGGCCAAAATCCAAGTCACCACCACCACTAGATTTCCCAGCCTCCACACTCCAAAACCCCATTAACTATTGTCTGATAGCTCCCACCGTTTGTCGGTGCCGTTTGGATTAGGGTTTTTCTGCTTCTAGCCGAACTCCAATCGAATCTGGTGGTCAAGATCCAAGGTGTCACCATCCCTTGCTTCACCTGCCCCCACTCTACAAAACCCCCCACCACCCCGTCGCCCAGTTGCTCTTCGTTCATCGTCCGAGCGACATTGCTGCCTGCCACTGGTTTCGGTCTAAATAATAATAATAAAAAGAAAAATTTAAGTCAAGTAGTAAAGGGTATTTTTGTCTTCACAATGAATGTCATTGTATTTAACGAAAACTATTAATGAAACATAACGTTTGGGTAATAAAGTTGTATTTTGAAACTTTTTGAATGAGAAAGTGTCATTAGGCCAAACCTTGGGTGGGAAAAAGTGGTTTACTCATTTCATATTCATCTTCATTTTATTTTATCAACGTGGCTTACCTCAGGATTCACAACTTCAACCTTTACTACACCCAAATATCTATCATAATATAATTAATACATTTAATTAAGTAAATTAATGTCAAAGATCATGGTCCATATCAATCTTTTTTTGGTAAAAAAAATTAAATTATTTGTTGACTTTTCATATTTTTTTTTTTTTGTAAAAAAAATTAAATTATTTGTTGACTTTTCATATTTATCGGTTGCCCATATATATAACTTTTTCTTCAATATACACCAATTGGTGTACCTTTTCATAAGTCAAGACGCAATTACCTACTAAAACAATTCATATTATATGAGAAAGATGTGACATATTGATGATTACATTACACAGCTTAGTAAACAAATAGAGTTAACGACATGTTCTCACCCAAAAAATAGCCCATCGACAAATTCATACCTACCTACATTTTAAATATCATTTCAATACCAAAAATATAATTTTATTAGTAATTTTTGTTGTTAGGAATGACAAAATGTTCAAAAGCTCATAATTAATGAGGGCATAATGGTCACCAAACAGTGGCTGCCAGAGAAGAAGAACGATGCACGTTAGTAGAAGATGGTGCATGTTAGCGACGTCAAATCTGGCGGGTTTTTGTCATTTTTCGACTGATCTTGGCTTTCAAAATCACTTCCGACACCACCCAGAGAATCCCCATCACCTCCTCTATAAAGCCCAAGCCTTCATTTGTCGTCATCACTCACCATTTCCCACCAACACCTCCATTTTCATGGTCGACTCTTCAAGTCGAATTTCCAGTGGATTTCTTTGCCAGAAATTCACCCAAACACCACCATCACACTCTCCACAACCCAGTCTACAAAACTCTTACCTCCATCACCGTTCCTTGCTTGCCCATCACCGACTGTGAATCGCATGATGTTTCAACTTCCAAGCCGATTTCTGGTCGTTTTCGGTGTCGAAAATCGTTCCTGCCACCACCAATAGACTCCCTGAATCTTCCTCTCTAAAAGTCCCAACATTCTCGATCCTGTTTGCTCACCAATTGCTGGCGATTGAAGCTTGACCTTAAGGTTTTTTGAGTTTTAATTGGATTAATTGGGTTTGATTTGTACCATTTTTGTGTTTGTTGGGTTGAAATACAATTAAGGAATGTTTGTTTGTTGATTTTTTGGTCGCCGACACTCTCCAACGTCAGTGGCAATCGTCGGCAATGGAAAATGTTGAGAAGAGAGGGGTTTTTTAGTAAATCACTTTGTTTCCCACCCTAAATCAGAGGATAACCTAATATTTGGGTAGTAAAAGGTGTTTAAAAAGTTTGAGGGTGGGAAAATGTCAATGGGCCATTTTTTGGGTGGTAACATGTCTTTAACTCTAAACAAATATACATAATATTAAATGTTATGAATGGGGTTATTTGCGATATGCCAAACACAAAGAGGCCACACAAGTGATTAATCAATTCAATTCCATATCATTGTATGATATTTTACATTTAGAACCGTCCAAACTTGTCAACTCTATCATTTAGAAGAAGAGGAAGAAGAATCAAACAAGGTTTATATGACATATGGAAAACTACTCCTCAACAAGTCTCTCACACCCACTTTGGATGGTCCATCAAAGGGCTATCTTCTTCTTCTTCATTCAATAAATGCAATGAGTATATCATAGATGTGTATGTCTAATATTTCAACTCCAATTTATGAATGTGTGTAAATGTAATGCCTTTGGCTGGCATTCACTCATCTTTTCCTATAAATGTTGAGTGTTGACATCATCCCAACCCAACCCCCAATTCGGGCTCACTTCCCAATGAACCTTTTCTTCTTACTTACTGCATTCCCTTTTTTTCTCTATTTCCTCACGACTTCATTTTATGATTCTATACAGCTCAATCTTCTGTAGAAATAGTTTCTTCTCAGACAGTAATGGAAGAGTGAGTCAAATTTCCTTATAGTAATTTCGTGTATTACAGCTTTGCAATTAAATGGACTTTTCAGTCTCTTTCTTTGATTTCTTCTTCCAGCTGGGAAAGACTGACCATATCTTGTGCAATTAAAAATTATGTATATTTTTGGCCTGCAATACACGAATAAACATTGCATTTGAATAACCTCATCAATGTCAAATAGCCGACAATTGTAAGATCATCTTCGATTTTCTTTTAATTATCAAAACAAATACAAAAATTCTTGTTCCTTTATTCAATGACAAATCTCCATTTCCAAAGATAAACTTTTCTGTAAGAATTGCCTAATTATTTCTTTATCTCAACACGTCTTAGTCTTACATACATATCCCATCATATCAAATTTTCTGTCTGAGTGATGCAATTTGGTGCCAAGTGGGATCATACTATATCATTGTTGTCTATTAGATAAGATTCATAAAACTTAGAATGAAACCGAGCCCATTTTCTCACACCCCTCTAGTCTTCAAATGATGATTGGAGAAAGCAAGAATCATTACTCCTTGTGACTATCTCAACTATAAATGCAATACTACTTGTAGGAGGAGGAGAATTAAGTTGACAGAACAGGTTACTGAGAGAGGAGATAGAAGCCATGGGAGATGAGGTCAACAACACACAAATACCACCCGTTAAACCACACTTTGTGCTGGTGCATGGCATAAGTGGAGGAGCTTGGTGCTGGTACAAAATCAGAACCCTCATGGAGAATTCTGGCTACAAAGTTTCATGTATTGACCTCAAAAGCGCGGGAATTGATCCTTCTGATGCTAATTCTATTCTTTCTTTTGATGATTACAATAAACCCCTCATCGACTTCATGTCTGCCTTGCCGGATGATGAACAGGTTTGTTATATAATATATAGTTACATGCATGATATATCTTAATTACTTTGTGATCATATTCGTGTGGTTCTTTTGAAGGTCATACTGGTTGGACACAGTGCCGGAGGCTTAAGCATAACACAGGCCACTCACAAGTTTGGAAAGAAAATCCGGTTGGCTGTGTATGTAGCAGCCACCATGCTGAAACTCGGATTCTGGACAGATCAAGATGCCAAAGATGTAAACCAAATCCTTTTCATTTCTTTCCTTATATATAATTAAACTTCATTCCAGTGAAACCAGTTTGAGAATCTTACGGGATTATGATGCCTGGTTGCCAACTGTTTTCACAGAGAAATAGCCAGCCATGATCACTAATCGAAATGAAAAGAAAACAACTTGGCCTTTGGTTTAGCATTTAATGGAGATTAGAGTGGTGTTACTGTGTGGGATAATTCTGATAGAGTAGATAGAGTGTCAAATGTCAAACAAAAGCTTACCTAATCATAATGTGATATGAGGGTGTTACAGCCTGTGAAATTTCAAATTTTTTATTGCTATTTCTTTAATTTCACACTTGACTTGCATCCAAAGCATGCGTAGGATCAACTTGACCATTTTGAGGTTGAATTGTAGGGATAAGATGGTAGAAAGTTTCTTAATTGAATGTTGAAGGCAGGCAAAGAGCACAGAATTAAATGGATGATTGATGGTGTAGCAGTAAAGC